TGAAATTAGTTTTTCACAATTCAAACAAAATCCTACTGTAATTCTTGGCCGTACAACGAAAATGGGAAGAATTCCACGAAATTTGTTGTGCTAGCAAAAGGGAACCACACTATAATTTTAAAGGTACTTTTAGAAACAAAAAGAGAATGTTTTTAAATCAAAAGACCTATCCATTTTACCACAGGTAGTGGTGTGCGAGTTACTAAAAAGTTTACCTATTTGTGGCAATTTACCTACGTATATAAGCACTAATTTTATTGTGGGCTATTACTTTTACAACATCCGATTATTTTTTAAATAGAGTCTGTTTAGGTACAAATTCAATTTTTAGCGGCATACGTAAAGCCAGTTTGTAAAATGATTTCTAATAATTCTGTCTTTTACTCTCCTTTGTTATTAACATCCATTAAATTAAAAAAAATCAGCTTTCTACGCGATCTCGGTATTCAGATCTAAAACCAAACGGGCGAAATTTTGCGCAAGAATTAGCAGTATTTTTTTAGAAAAAGGGATTAAACGATTATTAACACCTTTTCCATTTTAAATATATTAAGTAAGGTAATCTAATCATCTAATGCAACGCCTGAAGATAATGGACACATGTACGCATATATCACAGGTGCAGATGCGTCACCGCATCAGGTTGTAGATAAGAATTTTGTTTCTTCAATAATAGCAAATACCTAGGTAGTTATTTAGAAAATTTTGTTTCTTTCAATTTAATCCTGGTCCTGGACTTTCTTAAAATAAAACTAAATAACAACATTTTTAAAAAAGCTTTATCCACAGATTGTATCTAGGGCCGAAACAACTCTAGAGCGGTACCAAAACTGAAGAAATTATTTGATTTTGAGTGAATATTTTTACAAATTAGTAAAAGCTTATATTTTGTTAGCAAAGGCTTTAGTAAATCTTTTGTAAACTTACGTTGATAAAAACTTCCAAATTGCTTTGGTTCATTTGGCAATAAACGCACCACACAATTTCACTTTTAAACTGGCATAAATGAAATTTATGACGTCGTCGCGTCGTCCTGATAGCATTTATAATTCAACTTTCCCTCTCCTAACTGCGTACCTACTACGATTGCGGAGCACCTGATGTGTTAATCGGAGGGTGAATCATTTTAGAACCTGATGCAGTTTTTAATTTATAAATTTTGGATAGATAAATGTGCGGTGCCGTTTAGTACAATTGCAAATTATTTGAATGGTCACTCTAATTTAGAAATGCAAAAAAATCAAATGCGCAATTTACGCCAATAATTGCAAATATTTACAATCTCCTGGGTACGCAAAAGATGGTCACTCCCTGATTCAGTGATAATAATGTATATTTTACCATCAGGAATCTGCCCAATAACAGGGCAACAATACAGGGTGTTAGGTACATATAAGTATGTAAAAAAAATTGGGTAGTAGAGGGGATCAAAACAAGCACTTTTTCCAAATAAACCTTGTGTCCAACGTGCTTGGTTTGGGAGCCACCCTCAAAAGAGTGGTGCAATTTGCATTTCTTCCTTAATAGTTCTCTCAGCTATCATAAGAGTTACAAAGACTGGTGGCGTCTTTGAATAGGTTTTGGGGTACCTATACCCTTTCCGATTTTGCAAAAAAAGTTTCAAAATTCCTACCACGAAAGAGCGCACCCCTAATTAAGGAGTGCGAAAAAATTTTCCACGAAATTTGGTATCTGGGAGTTTTTTAACAAAAAAAATCACGATATTAGTTTTTGAAAATTCGAGAAAAAATCCGACCACAATTCTTGGTCGTACAAGGAAAATGGAGAGAATCTCATGAAATTTGTTATGCACATACTTGATGAAAAGGAACAAAATTGTCGAGCCAGTGTTTAATCACTTTTCAAAGAAAAGTTATACTCATTTGAAAATTGATCCTTCGGGTCACACTACTGACACATCTAACTTCGCATGTAGTTAGTTGAAAGTGTCACAAATAACAACAAACTAGACAACAAATTAACGATTTAACTCAATTTAAGTCGATATTATGATTAATTTGATCATTAAATGATCCAAAATTCAATGTGTCGATTCCAAGAAGATGTAGATTGTCAGATGACTCAATAGAAGGCGGAGACACACTCTGACACGAAGGACCAATTTTCAAATGTGCATAACTTTTGTTTGAGAAGTGATTTTAATGAATAGTGGGGACGATCCTCGAGATTGTTTATAATTTTGTATTGCTGTCTGTCTGTCCGTGTGCACGATAATTTTGTGTAGAAACGTCCGATCGCTTTGAAAATTGATACAGATGTTCTTCAGGATATAAGAAAGATCGCTATTTTCAGCTACGTAGACTAACGGGCGAAAATGTTACAGCCCAAAACCTGCCCAAACCAGAAACCTCCAAAAAGGGTTTCTTATTTCTTTTATAATTCTTATTACAAAGAACATATGAATGTCCGGTTGTCTGTGTTAATAAATATTCCTTAAATCTCAGGTAACTATGCAGATAAATAAATAAAAATTGCGCATGCGCAACGCAAGATATTGAAATGAAATTTTGTATGCAGGGCACCTCAAATAAAAGTAAAACTAATGCCGATTCAAAAAATTTGTTTTACAAGCTATGCTGATGTGAGGGAATAAAATCATAAATTGTATGTTGGTATAGCTATAAGTTGAAGGTACATACCTACCTTTTCGATATTTGAAAAGTCTTCAGCACAGCAGCGCGTTATTCGGCGTTATTCATGAGATGTCCATTTTAAGAAATCCCGGCGTACTTTCTAGCTAAAGCATTCGCCTTTCACATCAGGATCTTCAGCATCTTCACTCAGAATTCAGATATCGTGGAACGAAATCAAGCATTTTCGGGGAACGAAACGGGTGTACCGTCCAGCCCTAAGTAGACTGAGGGATTTCTTTCTGTGAATTGTTTTCTCTATGTCTACTTTTACATGACAAAATCTTTTCGGAAAGGCGCGCCTAATTTCCTTAAAATAAAGATCTGGCTGTCGTATTAATTAGTTTGAATATTGTTGCTTTGGCTTAACAGAAAATAAATCTCTTACGCTCCTTAAACCGTTACCGACGACCAATTGACTATATTGTATCAACTTTTTCACCAGTTGAATACATCGCACACGAACGAAAATAAAAATACGGAAGCCAAAGCAACAACATTCAAATTGATTAATGTGACAGCCAGATCTTTTTAATTGTTTTAAGAAGTTATTTTGATTGCATAAAATAAGGCACCCTTCAGAAGTGATTTTGTTATGTTACAGGGGCGGACTGACCCGGGGGGGCGGGTGGCGGTTGCCACCTGGCCTGTAGATCATAATGGCCCGTTGGAAATATTTATAAGTAAGTACTGTATTTAGTTTCTTGCACTATTAATAAATTATTAACACGTTTCTCTAATTGGGGTTGATATTAGGTTGTTAAAAAATTCTGTTTTAATTGAAGTGTTTTACAATGAATTTATCATTTTTTGTCGTAGCATGAAAGTGCTGAAATACAATGATAGGCGACGCACCTCGTGTGGATTGTATATTTTGTTACTTTTAATTATCAGCTGCAATTTAAAAAAAAAACTGTATGGTAATTTTCTATAAGAAAACTTTTTCCGGGTCGATCTGAGACAATTTTTTTTTTCGGGGCTCAAAAAAGGCAGTGTATTACCTTCCTTTTTTTACCAAAAATCGACTACACCAAAAATTCTCGGGAAAACACTTTTTCTTATTAATTTGGGTGCGTAGAATCCAAATCAATTCGTACTTTTTCGATCAGACTTCTCAATGAAAAGTTATAGACTAGAAACCAATTTCGAAAAAAAATTCAAAGGGCTGTAAGTTTTGAACTAGTAGCCCAATCTTGGAACTGTTTGAAATTATGGATTCTACAGGCCACATTCTATAAGGAAATTTTTCTTCCGGGTCGATCCGAAACAATTTTTTCTTCCGGGCTCAAAAAAAGGCAGTGTATTACCTTCCTTTTTTACCAAAAATCGACTACACCAAAATTCTCGGGAAAACACTTCCTTATTAATTTGGGTGCGTAGAATCCAAATCAATTCGTACTTTTTCGATCAGACTTCTCAATCAAAAGTTATAGACTAGAAACCAATTTCGAAGAAAAATTCAAAGGGCTGTAACTTTTGAACTAGTAGCCCAATCTTGGAACTGTTTGAAATTATGGATTCTACAGACCACATTCTATAAGAAAATTTTTTTTCCGGGTCGATCTGAGACAATTTTTTTTTCGGGGCTCAAAATTATTAACACGTTTCTCTAATTGGGGTTGATGTTAGGTTGTTAAAAAATTCTGTTTTAATTGAAGTGTTTTACAATGAATTTATCATTTTTTGTCGTAGCATGAAAGTGCTGAAATACAATGATAGGCGACGCACCTCGTGTGGATTGTATATTTTGTTACTTGTAATTATCAGCTGCAATTTAAAAAAAAACTGTATGGTGATTGATTTTCGAGGAAGGAGTATTTACTGTTTTTGTGGTGCACCTCAGAGCTTTCGTAACATGTCTACTGCACCTATTTTTTTTTCATCCACAGAAATTTTATTCCAACCTCATAATCTAAAACGACTGTATTACATACTAAATTGCCAGTAGATGGGGACATTTATTAAAAACGCCTACAGAGGACTGCACATCAATGCTTGTATTTCTTCCCAAGGAGCATTATTATTCTTCAATTTTATGGTTGAATATATCGCCCCCCTCGCCCTTCTTGGTTTGTTACTGATATGACCAAATCTTTAGAAGAAAATGGTCTGCAGTTACTTCAATAGGTCCCCCATGTCATTTTGTAACTACTTTCTCTACATGATCAAGCGTAATATCAACAATGAGCAAAGGAGACACCTTTTATCAGGCAAATCAAAAGATGTGGATCTAGTCTCTACTGTTTGATCAATCTGTTTCCCTATACCATTTTTATAAAACCATCTAAATGTGAAAAGACTGTCTATTTAGCTAGTATGACACTAAAGATATAAGGGAAGAAATAGTTATTATACTAAATCGATCTATATATTCTTACAAAAGCATTATCTAAACAATTTTAAATACAAAATATAAATTAAAAGAAAAGGCCTCTCATCCTACGTCCCATTCCTTGTCTGTCATATAAGATGTTGAACTTATTCACAAATTGATTTAAATCGTTACACCCTTTGGTTAGAGTTCCTAAATAAGTCATCAAGCCAACATCGTTGCATTGCTGAAAAAAAGTGTTATAATTTACAGACAAAAACACATAAGAGAAATCTTACATTATAAAAGTCTTGCCTAAATCGTAAGCTTTGAACTACCGGTAAACGATGACACAGTGAGTAGGTTTCACGCAAAATCTCGTGATTTGTCGGTAAAACTCCTGCCTGTACAGCCTTCATGTACTCCAACACGAGGCGCACACGTGAATGCAACATTTTTATCGCACTATGCTGCGCTGTAAGATGTTCGGCAACTAAAGAACTTTCCCCAGCATCAGTTGACGACATCCTTGCCACGTGATCAACCCCAATTCGTTCGGCCTCTTCAGTTGCCAAGGTGTAGGTGAGTGGGACAAAAAGCATTGTAGCTTCACCGTCTACCAAGTCAATCACCGATTCATATAAAGCCACTGGTAAATGCTAAACAAAAACATCGTCAGAAAGATGCCACAGCAGGCAGTTGACTTACATCAATATTTTTATCAAAAGGATTTAACTTTAACAAGATGGGGCTTTCATTTATTTCGCAAATTTGTTTGTGCACTTTTATATCTGTTGAACTCGGAACGTCACCCGTTGTATACCAGCCTATAAAATCCATTTCGCTAAACACCTGTTTAACTGTTACAGAATTAATAACGAATGAAAAAAAGGACAAATACTTACACTGCTCCTCTTTCATACTGTAATAATCCCTATCGATAACGACATCACCACCAATCACACTGAAGACGAGCTCAAACGAATTCATTATTTCTATGTTCCTACCCTTCTGCTTCCCGATAAGTGCACCTATGACTTTGGAAACTGATTAGGATGGTTAAATAGAAAACAATGTCGCATACCTTGTGGTGCTGAACCTTCTTGGGCCCTTTCACGAGTCCAATGCTCCGAAACGTTCATTATAACAAGTGGATGTAAAGAACAAGTGACCGAGCCTGTTGTGCCAACGGCCATCACACCTTTCCCAGTTTCGAGATCCATTCTTCCTCCGCCCCCTTTCGAAGATTCGCCCAACGCATTATCTACGTCCATTTGGAGATCTTCTTTTGCTGTATTCATTATTGCTGGATTGCTGTATAAAGAATAAAAATCAAATTTATATTCAAGCTTTTTGACAAATAATATTTTGATACTACCAACACAAAGATTTTAGCAAGGGTACCACACCATGTTAGTGACATACAGTGAGATCCCCAATTGTAGTTTTCACGATTTTCATTGGCTACTAACCATCAATCATCATAATCACATTTGCCTCTGCTTGGAAAGAACTGGAAAGTTGAGAAGATTTCCTGTCCAGTGTACTTCAAATTTTTTGGGCCTAAACTTCATTTTATCCACCTGATGGAAGTCTTGTCTGATATATATTGCAGACAGGAGGATCTAATATGTTCAGATTTAATATTGTCTTGTGTTGTTGATGGTGCTAATATAGGGTTGTACTTACTTGTAATAGCAAGCAATTGTTCATTAACTTTATTTAAATGTTACGATACAAAGAAGGTAGGTACTCGAATAATACATTTCATAATAATAAAAATTAAATACTTATCCAATGCAGTGTTTGCTTATGCTATACTTTGTAACCATCCGCTCCTTTCAGTCATACCTTCCTGTTACCTGTTTATTCTTTAAACTTGCTTCCTTGAGTTTTCCAAGACAAGTAGGTATTCCAGATGATGGCTACAAATTGTACAACCAAAATCTGATACTGAACCGGTACAATGTAGAAGTTTCCAAGTTGTACTAGAGGCCATAATTTGTAATTAGTGATTAAAATATCCTTATAATTCATTTTTAACTCGTCAATGGACGACTTGATGTTCTTCTGTTGGACGATTGCGAGGGAAGTTAAAAAAACCACAATAAAAGATGGTGCAAATAATCCTTGATCAAAGGCCACCTTTTTGAGAACCGCTGACGCACCTTTGTTTCCCAAACATTTGTCCAGAAATCTATACCATGTGGTCAAAGTAGGCCCCTAAAAGCATCTTGAAAATTGCCAGAGGTAAGTTAATCGTTTTACTTACAACTAGAAATAAGCCCACTGCCCCAAACTGTGATGTTCGGAGTAGGTTAATATTTTTCAAAGAGTTTCCTTCGACGGCCGTTTGTGCTAAAATATCGCCTGCAATCGTCAGGCCACTCGTTTGTAGTGATGAAGTTATTAAAGGATACTTTTTTAAAGCGGTTTTGTACAGTCTTAAGATTGTAGTCATGATTAAAAGGAGATTAAAAGTCGAAATTGTTAAGGTTATGTTTGAGTAGTTCAATTTGAGCAGGTCGTAGGTGCTTTGTTCTGTTGCGTTTTAAATTTTTGACAGATAACAAAATTTTGAGTTACCACATTTGAAAAATTATGTTTCGAAATTTATTGCGAAGTAATGTGTTAAGATTTTCGTATAACTTCAGTCAATTACGAAGAAGTGTTGTACAATTCTCCAAGGCTAGCCTCTGTAGTTTGGTCGTAGCTGGAACTGTCCCCTTAGAACATAAAGAGTATGCTAGTGGTTTACAACGTGCGTCCAAGGAAGGTGAAAATTATTTGTCGCAATTAATTTGCATGCTCCGCACTCTAATATTGGAAACGAGCGTGCAGTACCAAGAATGTTTGATTAAGCAAATAGAGTTAATCAAACAGAACACCAAAATCGGGCCTATTGGTGAACATTGGGATAGGTTGACTGATATACGAATTAAAACTAACGAGTTGAAGGACGAGTTAAACAAATTTGAAGCTTTGGCAAAGAATTTGGAGGAGATTGTAACGGAACATGGTATTTCCATTGTGTTTGTTAACAAGGAAATGTTGCTAGACAAATTACATGTGGAAATAGAGAAGCTTAAACGACTAAGAGAGCAACAATTACACGAAAATCATCGTTACGAAAAAGAGCTGTTACAGGCAAATTGTAACAGTATTTTAACTACTGAAGTTTGAAGTGTGGTTCACTGCAGTCCATCAGCAGAGCTGGGCAGTATTCGATTTTGTAAATACTTTTACTTTAAAGTATTCAAATACTTTGTAATTAAATACTTTTATGGAAGCAGTATTTGTATTTGTAACTCAAATACTTTCGCAAATATTTAGTATTCCAATACTTCGCAAAGTATTTAAATACTTTCAAGTTGTTCAAATATTTGAGAACTATTTAAAAATCTGGTATCTCCTATATAATAATATAATAATAATATATACGCTTCTACTCCCCTTAAATTTGTATATTATTATTATTATTATAATTATATAACAATATAAAAAAGCTAACCTCAGGGAAAGATACTACATTCACCGCACAAAATGCTGTTTTTCCATGTAGCCCCCATACAAAGTATAACTTGACATTTTTTAAGGAGTATTAAGGCTCCTCTGTAGTCAATTTGTATTTCAGTGTTGCAATTGCAATTGGTTAGACCACCAACAATACACACTGCTACATGAACTCCTTGAGTGAAACCAACGATGTATCTATCTTTCTCAGTTTTGCATATTCTCTTCATTTATTGTTAAACACAATAGACCATGTATAATGAATAATGATCAAGGACTAATTATGTAAACAAGTTTATCGAAAAGCTGTACAATATTTGACTGGAGATGCACAAATACCTATTTCTGTTACCGTTGAATAAATTACTTATTCAATGCATTTTTCTATAATGACACCTTCTGCAAATTACGTGGTTTTCATGTAAGTAGTGGACTAGATTAGCATTGTTTGTTATAACATTTTTTTAATTACCCCTTTATTTCTTGTGATTTGTTCTAATCATTTTTACTGATTTATAGATTTTTATAGTTATTAGGTACATGTGCATGAATGAATTCACTTAGGAATGGTAGATCCTAAAAAAACCGGCACTTCGAACACCTAAAATAAATCTTTCTTTACTTATATACAAGGGTGAACAACAAAAATTGTATGTTTTTCATAAAAATGGTAGCTAACATTTAAAATTCTGTTACAATAATTAAAAGTATAACATTTATACTGATTCTAAATAAATCCTTATCTTTTCAAAAATTAATAACAATTGTACATTTAGCGTATTACTTATTTATATCTATGCACGACCCATGCAGAATTTTTTCGAACATCTTTTGTGCGGTAAGATGACTTCACTTTTTTGCCCTGAATTCAATGGTAAAAATAAAATTTACTTGATCCTTCTATTTTTTGAGGGACAAATATTCCTGTTGATAAAGTTGATATCGGTCCATATTGAAAAAAGAAGTAGGTAGTAGTAAAAAATTTATCGGTTTCTGTCGCTACATAGTATTGGAAATTTGAAAAAAATTCGCCAGTTGATGTGAAGTTTGTGGGACTCCATCAAATGGTATTCTCAAACGGAAAGATAAATATTCGAATTTGTGCAAGAATTTTTTTATATCCACCACTTTCACTAACTTGACTTTACATGAGCAAAACAGTGACACTTTGTTTTAAATAAAATTGTCAGTGTCGGCCATTAGTTGTCGTATCCCGCTTAGGAATTTAACTAAAAAGGGGAATTGTATTTATATCGGTAGCGTTTCTTTTATATAACATACCACGACGTTTCCTATGTTTATGTTCCGCTAATAAGGGAAAAAATGCCTATGTGTCATTTGTTATCTATTGGGCGCAACTTTATGGAAAGCAAAGGGCATGTGTGCGTCTTTTGCTTTTGGTCGCATTTCTCGAAATAGATAATTTTCACGAAGACTTACTGTTAGTCCAGTATGCAGATAATTTTGACCTGCAAAAGGTGGTGTAAAAATTTTTAGTGTTTTAAATGGTCCATTTGGGTCCAAATAACATGTATTTGAAGAGTACGCACAAATTTTTTCCCGGCACAACTTTTGGCAGCCAAAAAACCTCAACATTTTTGGCATTTTTTTTAGTTTTTCGCTTAAAACTCGAAAACGGTCCATATATTTTATGAATATCACTTCTTTAGCAAATTAAAGAAAACAAAATTATGCGTCGATAAAAAAAAACAAACAAATTCGGTCCAATAGAAAAATTTTTACAAGCGATCAAAAAACGCCCATTTTTTCCAACGAATTTCAAAAATTTGGCCAATTTTAAATTGTTGGGACTTTTTAAACTCTCTGATTGACGTTCTACTATCTTTAGGGAGGGGGGGTAGTGGATTTTATCGTTCCTTTAGGAGCCACAACGCATTAAAAAAAGGTTAACTCAGTTCTTTAGAAAAGTTGGAAAAAATGGGCGTTTTTTGATCGCTTGTAAAAATTTTTCTATTGGACCGATTTTGTTTGTTTTTTTATCGACGCAGAATTTTGTTTTCTTTAATTTACTAAAGAAGTGTTATTCATAAAATATGGACCGTTTTCGAGTTTTAAGCGAAAAACTGAAAAAAGTCCGAACGTTTTGAGGTTTTTTGGCTGCCAAAAGTTGTGCCGGGAAAAAATTGGTGTGCACTCTTCAAATACATGTTATTTGGACCCAAATGGACCATTTAAAACGTTAAAATCGTTTACACCACATTTTGCAGGAATCGGCCCTTCTGACTGCTCCGCATACTGGACTATCTGAGGAAACTGATAATTTTAGATGGGAAATATACACAAACGTGTAATTTAGTCATATTTGATTTGATCTAACTAAACAAAGTGCTACGCTTCTGGTAGTTTGAAAGCATTGTTATAAAACAGAGTTCATATTCAGCACTACTTATGATATAATATGTGAAGTACCTAGTATTGTACGTACCCCCGCCCCGTCAAAGGGAAATATTATTACAGCCTCATTATAGGGTTTTTTTTTATTTCTTGAAGCATCCTGATAGGATGCAAAAGGTTTTAGAAATAAAAAATTATTTCCAATGTACCTATAATAGGATATCCATTTTTCGTCTTGGGAATATGTGACATTATGATTTACAAATCAACAGCATTCAAATAAATAAATAATAAATAGTAATTTATCTAATCCATATCATTAGGAACGGCGTAACATGTGTAGGGTAATGCCAGGTAGTTTCTTTTGTTTTCCCTTTCAAGTAATGAGTTGTCGCCTCAGGCGTTATAAGTGCAATTTGAGTTGCCTATCCTTACGTTAGCGTTTTGATTTTTTTCTGAAGATCGCGAAACATATTTTTTTAAATATATGCCTTATCATAATAGATGGAAATAATATCTTTAAGTACCGCCGTAAGAAATACTGTCGGATTTCCAAATTGGTGCTGTACGTTTTTCTACCCTCATTACAACGGCTGTTATCTACAAAAAACGATTTTTCTATTCATCGATCTTCCTAAAAAACTAAGACCGATATTTCAATTTTTTTAAGTACCGCCGTTCTTTTCATCATTGCAAAGAATATCCACTATCGAGAATTTGTTAGACTTCAACTACAAAAACAGCATTTCATAAGAAAGTTTAGCTATTTTTCCAATATGGCGGATTGACTACAGAGGAGCCTTAAGGCTTTTATCTAGTACCTACTATTTTAAATTTGTAATGTATTTGAGTGACAAGTATTTGAATACTCTTTACTGTATTCGAATACTTTTCAAAGTAGTCGAATACCTTTTATTAGAATACTTTTGAAAGTATTCTGCCCAGCTCTGTCCATCAGTAATTAATTATTGTGTCTTTGCAGGTTCTTCAGAATGAGTACACAGAAGGGTAATACACAACGTTGTCGACCTCAGAAACATCAAAATCGAACATCCTTTAAGAACAGTCTCAACGATACAAGCCAAAGAACTAAATTTATCAACAACATTCAGGTGGCCAAGGTTTGCCAACGTTGCAAAGAAATAATAGAGTGGAAAATTAAATACAAGAAATACAAGCCTCTCACACAACCAAAAAAATGCGTAAAATGTGAACAGAAAACCGTACGACACGCCTATCACGTCATGTGCAACGAATGCGGAAATAAACTTAAGGTTTGTACGAAATGTGGCGAAGCGAAGGAGATCGTCGAGGGAGTGACGGATCCAAAAGAACAACTTCAGCTAGACTTAGAAATGCAAGAATTACTGAAATCGTTGCCAGAGCGTAAACGACGGACTTTTATTCGGCATATGAACAAACAAGCTGAGGAGAATGTGGGGGAGTCGTCGCACGATCAAAGAGCCGGGTTAATTGACAAGCTCAACTCTCTCAAGGTGGCCGAGGACGAGTTTTCCGACTTTGACGACGATTTTAGTGATTAGTGACATTTATAATTGTCATTAATGAATAAGTTTTGTGACGATTTTGTACAGGCAATTTGTTACGATAAAAAAACTGGAATATGTGCTGGCGTTGTGTTGGCTGTCATTTTAGGTTTACTTAGTTTCTCAACTTATTTAGTATTTAAACCAATTGAATGCGTCGAAGATAAACCGAAAACCTTATTCTCGTTAAGAGGGGGCCTCGGTTTCTACAAGGAGGTCAAGTGCAAAGAAACATCCATTGTAGGATCTCCATTTGTGGTGGCGTTAATTGATAGGGACCTCCACGTACACGTTTGTACCGGTATTATTATAGCACAAAATTGGGTCTTAACAGCTGCTGATTGCCTCTCATCGTGTAATGGTGAAAAGTGTATTAATTTTGCAATACGGATAGACAGCAGTTACAGTAATAGAGGTGGTACAATTAACAATATTACATTGGTAGTAAGACATCCTCTGTACGAAATTAGCACTTTGGACAATGCCTTGGCTTTACTTAAAACGGATGGGCACGTATTGCACCACAAAATCAAAATTGGGCCGCCTTTAGAGGTTGGAACCAAAGGTATTTTACTTGGTTGGAGTCCACATGGGAAAGTAGATTTACACGGAGACAACACATTAAAGAAAATGTATTTTAAGGCAGAACCAAAGATAATATGTAGTTACAGGCTGAAAGGTGACTATCTGAAAATTCCATTGTCAGAACATGCCAGTTGCATAACTTTGGATGAGGAGGGTTGCTACACAGATCCAGGAGGACCATTGATAAACCGTAACAAACTAGTAGCAATGGTAATATTTGGAAAAATATGCTACAATTGTGATTCCCAAGTGACGATCGCCACCAATATCTACCCTTACATCGAGTTTATAAATAAATTTATTAATAATTAGACAGCGTTAACTACTTCACTTCTCTTTTTTTAAATAAAGCGTCCAAACTATCTTCCATTGATTTATTGCTACCTCTTAGTCCATCCACAACCTTTTTACTCCAATTAAAATATTGTTTGACACGGTCAGCGGTCCACTTTCTCGGAATAGCTCGTTCCAAATCCCTCAAATTATACAACTTATCGGCCAATTTGACTAACTTTGCTTCGGGACTACAAGTTGGCGCATGTTCAATTTGCAAGGCTTTCCTTTCATGTTTAGGTAGCGATTTATCATCGGTCACTTCGGCGACAATCGAACATACCTTCGAACCGAAGTGTTCTTCGATTTCGGTGAATGTTGTATTTGTATCTTCTACGGTATCATGTAGAATGGCGGCCTGAATGACGTTAATGTCGGTCACTTTTGCCTCGTTCGTTAAAATGTATGCGACTCCTGAAATTGATCTGTGATGTACGAGAGATAATGAGTGCAAAGTTTACCTATGGGGTGATTGATGTATGGTGTGTCCTCGGGGTCTAATCTCCTTTGGTCTCTGTGCTTTACCGCTGCGAAGTTAATGCACTTTATTAAAGTTTCGACAGTGTTTGATGAATTATTGGATGTGGAAGACATTATTATTAATTGTTAAAAAATTGAGCCATTAGACATGTGATCTAAAAATATAGGGTACCTACACTATAATTCTGTGCTAAGGTAAACTTAAGCTGTTTGTAATTGCAATGACCCTTTACCTCTGACAAAGGAACTACTCAGGGTAGTGTCTGGAACAACTGCGAATAGTTCCAAAACCATAGATTATCTATGTCCAAAACAAGTTAGATTAAAACAGGAGGTAATATCATTTCACCTAATACCAGGGGCGGCTCTCTATAAAGAACCTAGAAACCATGGCACCTCCTCAAGACATCAACCAAAGCTATTATCTTTGCATCTGCTTAATAAAGTGCTCAAACTCGTCTCTGTCTACGCCACTATGGTTATAGAGAAACACTACTAAACACTTAAGTGCTGAAAGAGAAAAACAAGAATTCGACATAATCAGCAGAAGGCAGCTGGAATTCACCTACCATCTAATTAAAGATCAAATGGTTAGGCTCACTTAAAATCTACGTTATGTATTATGGTGTGACTTTTCAAAATTTACCGAACACATGCACAAAAAAAGTAAAGAGCACTCACCGATTGCTCCTCCAGGATCGAGATGGTTCGGCGGACAGCAACCACACACGCCCACACTCACTACGCGACCTGGTAGACGAATACTACACACACTGAAAGTGCTCAAACTCGTCTCTGTCTACGCCACTGGTTATAGAAACACTACTACACACTTAAGTGCTGAAAGAGAAAAACAAGAATTCGACATTCTCAGCAGAAAGCAGCTGGAATTCACCTACCATCTAATTAAAGATCAAATGGTTAGGCTCACTTAAAATCTACGTTATGTATTATGGTACGACTTTTCGAAATTTACCGAACACATGCACAAGAAAAAGTAAAAAGCACTCACCGATTGCTCCTCCAGGATCGAGATGGTTCGGCGGACAGCAACCACAAACGCCCACACTCACTACGCGACCCGGTAGACGAACACTACACACACTGAAAGTGCTCAAACTCGTCTCTGTCTACGCCACTGGTTATAGAAACACTACTATACACTTAAGTGCTGAAAGAGAAACACAAGAATTCGACATTCTCAGCAGAAAGCAGCTGGAATTCACCTACCATCTAATTAAAGATCAAATGGTTAGGCTCACTTAAAATCTACGTTATGTATTATGGTGTGACTTTTCAAAATTTACCGAACACATGCACAAAAAAAGTAAAGAGCACTCACCGATTGCTCCTCCAGGATCGAGATGGTTCGGCGGACAGCAACCACACACGCCCACACTCACTACGCGACCTGGTAGACGAACACTACACACACTGAAAGTGCTCAAACTCGTCTCTGTCTACGCCACTGGTTATAGAAACACTACTACACACTTAAGTGCTGAAAGAGAAAAACAAGAATTCGACATTCTCATCAGAAAGCAGCTGGAATTCACCTACCATTAAGTTTAAGATCAAATGGTTAGGCTCACTTAAAATCTACGTTATGTATTATGGTGTGACTTTTCAAAATTTACCGAACACATGCACAAAAAAAGTAAAGAGCACTCACCGATTGTTCTTCCAGGATCGAGATGGTTCTGCGGACAGCAACCACACACGCCCACACTCACTACGCGACCTGGTAGACGAACACTACACACACTGAAAGTGCTCAAACTCGTCTGTCTACGCCACTGGTTATAGAAACACTACTATACACTTAAGTGCTGAAAGAGAAACACAAGAATTCGACATTCTCAGCAGAAAGCAGCTGGAATTCACCTACCATCTAATTAAAGATCAATTGGTTAGGCTCACTTAAAATCTACGTTATGTATTATGGTGTGACTTTTCAAAATTTACCGAACACATGCACAAAAAAAGTAAAGAGCACTCACCGATTGCTCCTCCAGGATCGAGATGGTTCGGCGGACAGCAACCACACACGCCCACACTCACTACGCGACCTGGTAGACGAACACTACACACACTGAAAGTGCTCAAACTCGTCTCTGTCTACGCCACTGGTTATAGAAACACTACTATACACTTAAGTGCTGAAAGAGAAACACAAGAATTCGACATTCTCAGCAGAAAGCAGCTGGAATTCACCTACCATCTAATTAAAGATCAAATGGTTAGGCTCACTTAAAATCTACGTTATGTATTATGGTGTGACTTTTCAAAATTTACCGAACACATGCACAAAAAAAGTAAAGAGCACTCACCGATTGCTCCTCCAGGATCGAGATGGTTCGGCGGACAGCAACCACACTCACTACGCGACCTGGTAGACGAACACTACACACACTGAAAGTGCTCAAACTCGTCTCTGTCTACGCCACTGGTTATAGAAACACTACTAAGCACTTAAGTGCTGAAAGAGAAACACAAGAATTCGACATAATCAGCAAAAGGCAGCTGGAATTTATCATCATCTCATTCAAGTTCAGGTGGTTATGCCTAGGGTTAGGCTCACTTAAAATCTACGTTATGTATTATGGTGAACTTTTCAAAATTTACCGAACACATGCACAAAAAAAGTAAAGAGCACTCACCGATTGCTCCTCCAGGATCGAGATGGTTCGGCGGACAGCAACCACACACGCCCACACTCACTACGCGACCTGGTAGACGAACACTACACACACTGAAAGTGCTCAAACTCGTCTCTGTCTACGCCACTGGTTATAGAAACACTACTAAGCACTTAAGTGCTGAAAGAGAAACACAAGAATTCGACATAATCAGCAAAAGGCAGCTGGAATTTATCACCATCTCATTCAAGTTCAGGTGGTTATGCCTAGGGTTAGGCTCACTTAAAATCTACGTTATGTATTATGGTGTGACTTTTCAAAATTTACCGAACACATGCACAAAAAAAGTAAAGAGCACTCACCGATTGCTCCTCCAGGATCGAGATGGTTCTGCGGACAGCAACCACACACGCCCACACTCACTACGCGACCTGGTAGACGAATACTACACACACTGAAAGTGCTCAAACTCGTCTCTGTCTACGCCACTGGTTATAGAAACACTACTACACACTTAAGTGCTGAAAGAGAAAAACAAGAATTCGACATTCTCATCAGAAAGCAGCTGGAATTCACCTACCATTAAGTTTAAGATCAAATGGTTAGGCTCACTTAAAATCTACGTTATGTATTATGGTGTGACTATTCAAAATTTACCGAACACATGCACAAAAAAAGTAAAGAGCACTCACCGATTGCTCCTCCAGGATCGAGATGGTTCTGCGGACAGCAACCACACACGCCCACACTCACTACGCGACCTGGTAGACGAACACTACACACACTGAAAGTGCTCAAACTCGTCTCTGTCTACGCCACTGGTTATAGAAACACTACTAAGCACCTAAGTGCTGAAAGAGAAATACAAGAATTCGACATATTCAGCAGAAGGCAGCTGGATTTTATCACCATCTCATTCAAGTTCAGATGGTTAGGCCTAGGATTAGGCTCACTTAAAATCTACGTTATGTATTATGGTGTGACTTTTCAAAATTTACCGAACACATGCACAAAAAAAGTAAAGAGCACTCACCGATTGCTCCTCCAGGATCGAGATGGTTCTGCGGACAGCAACCACACACGCCCACACTCACTACGCGACCTGGTAGACGAACACTACACACACTGAAAGTGCTCAAACTCGTCTGTCTACGCCACTGGTTATAGAAACACTACTATACACTTAAGTGCTGAAAGAGAAACACAAGAATTCGACATTCTCAGCAGAAAGCAGCTGGAATTCACCTACCATCTAATTAAAGATCAAATGGTTAGGCTCACTTTAAATCTACGTTATGTATGATGGTGTGACGTTTCAAAATTTGCCGAACACATGCACAAGAAAAAGTAAAGAGCACTCACCGATTTCTCCCCCAAGATCGAGATGGTTCGGCGGACAGCAACCACACTCGCCCACACTCACTACGCGACCTGGTAGACGAACACTACACACACTAAAAGTGCCCAAACTCGTCTCTGTCTACGCCACTGGTTATAGAAACACTACTATACCCTTAAGTGCTGCAAGGAGGTAATCTATTTTTCTTAGGCGGGCGAGGGAGGTGGGGGTTCCATTCCATAATAATTTGTTAGTGTAGAGTATTGAACAATACATTTTTTTAAATTCCTGGAAAAATGTGTTGGAGTTAATCCGCCCTTTGTCAATCTGATCAAAGGGCTGGCGTTACTTAAGTGTTTGGGCTTAACCATTTTTTATTTAAAGAACCTTTAAAAAAGTGCTGAATTTTACCAGCCCTTGGTCAATCTGATCAAAGGGCCGGGCTTACAAAATCGTTTGGGTCCCACAATTTTTTATTTAAAAAACCTGCAAAAAAGTGCTGATATTTACCCACCCTTTGTCAATCTGAGCAAAGGGCTTGGGTTATTTAAGGGTTTGAGCCCCACAATTTTTTATTTTAAGAACCTGCAGAAAAGTGCTGGAGTTTATCCGAATATCCGCCCTTTACCAATCTGATCAAAGGACTGGTGTTACTTTGAGTGTTTTGGCCCTGCATTTATTTATTTAAAAAATTTGGAAAAATGTGCTGGAATTTGCTTTCCCTTTATCAATTTTCTAATCAAAAGTTTAGACTCACTTAGGTATACAAACACACGTACAGAAAGGGATATGGGGTTTTAAAATGTTATGCTCCTTTTTTAGGGCCGTTCGTCGTAGAACAACAGGGAGGTGTTGTGACCTACTTAGATGGCGGTTTTAAAAGTAGAAAATTTTTCCTTGTTTCGATTTTCTAGCATGTGCAATCTTGACAACTGGAATACTTACGTGCAACATGAATTAATTCAAAGCACCGCACCGATTATATGAAAGTGGGGCCCGGGCATTTTTCTAAATCCATCCCTAATACGTGCACCCGAATTTGCACACTTTTAAAACGGCACTATAAGGGCGATGGTCACAAGTGACTACATTTTCCGAATGGACAGCTAAGTTAAAAATGGGGGCCATTTTGAAAACTGAATGTTTCCATCCCCGAGGTTCTGATAAGACACTGTTGTAAAATTGGCCTTAAATTTGCATAAGATTTTGATGTAGATATCCATAACATCAAGGAAACGTTCTAAATTTGGCGATTGAACAAGCAAATAAATGGAAAAACGACACCAAGTCGTTATCGCAGCAACCCTTGCGCCCGGCCCTTGTTGGTTAGAAACTCTTTTTAAACGTAAAATATTGTAGGATTGGCGTTGTACATGCAAGATTTCGACTTAAAATGCATGCAAAAGTCGGGATTAATGTAAAACACTTACCTACCTACTTTTGCTATCTGCGTGCAGGGTGGTTGTGGAACGTCCATTTTTCAATTGATTGGCACTGAAGCACGGCCACTATTGACATTATCGATCTATTTCTTCGCAACGATTCGATTTATTGAAGCTTTTCACGGTGACAATCATTCGGAAACGCCAATTTTTCTTTTAGAAACCAGGCACGCTAACGTCTTTCACGAGATTAGAGCGCGGGCTCTCCATTAGGTATACAGATGATGTGTTAGAGTGAGAAAGTTATAAAACGGCGGCGCATTCAAATTTTTGTTCATTCGAACTACCTCCGGTATTTTGTTTCTACTGCTGATTTTTACTTTGCAGACTTCGTTTTAAATGTTTATTTGTAATGAATTTCCAGTAGGAAGCCATTTGACTGATATCGCTTTACTTGTAGGTACGTTTGCAAACTCGAAGCAGAGGCATATACACGGTTCGTGGTTAGGTTGGGCCCATTCCCACTTTAAATAATTTGTGACCTAGCACGCTCGGTTTTAATAGCGTGCATAGGTTGGCTTTAGTTTCTTATCTTTTTACTTCTTTATCGGCGTGGTTGGTGAATGTGAAATGTTTGTCCAAAGTTACCTAGGTACTCTCATCAGGCTAATATGGTACCTATACCTACTATTTGCTGCTTTTTTACGGTTAACTTCTGCAAGTTGTTGTCGATGGCAATGGCTTTTACCTTCTCCTAATTGAACTCGAGCCAATGACTCTGCGTGGCAAAAGAGTCTCTTTGCGGATACTTATTAACCGATCACTTCCCTGGAAACGGCGAAATGAACGTGCTAGTTCAATCAATCAGTTCTTCATTTACCTACGCCATTTGGCAAAAAAATTTAATTTTGTAAGTTCTTCCCCCCCCCCCCCCACCCGCACTGGACAACGGGCTACCTCCGAGTAGGGGTCCGTTTCCTTTGGCAACCAAGACCTGGGCAACAGTCTCTGACCGTATTTCCGCCCTACTCGTGCGATAAACCAATTCCAATTCTGGGCTCCTCGTCAGGGGGGACTATAACAAGCCGGGCCCTCAAAAGGGTTCCGGTAACGGGACCGGCTCCTCGAAAGAGGGGAAACGCTCCAAGGTCTGGATCAGAGCAACCTGAGAAAAACCCAGAGATTCTGTGAGCGCACCACGAAACGCAAGTCGCTGGCCCCCAAAGAGGTCAAAATCTCTGCATGAATTCTGTGGATTTTCGCTTAATTCCTTGTAGACCTCAATTTAAGACGAATTCCTCCAACTGGAAAATGAGAGACAAGTCACAAATTACCTTGCCACAAGTTTCAAAATTTTTTCAGGGGAAGTAGTTCAAATTTAACCGTGGTAGTTCCAATAGCATCGTATCTGTTCTTAACCTCAATTTTTTTTGAAATTTTATCGGAGATTCTCAGTGGCTAGGGAGATTAAATTCACATCTATAACTTGAGATTGGCTGTACGGGCATTTGAGGATCACACTACAAAGGTTTGTCGCTCAATGCTGATGGGTTTTAGTTTACAACTTTGTTTGTCGTAGATCCTCGCTTTGACAGTCAATGTTTCGCAATGCCGAAAAGCCTACGGCTTCTTCAAGTTCACGTAACACCAACGGCGGGATGGTTGGAAGGTCTCCCAAAGAACTCCAATTAGAACGTAGCTGAGATTGCAATAAATCAACGTTTACTCAATGTTCTAGTGTAAGTAAGAATACGGCATTGAAGAAAATCAAACAGAGGGCATGTTATAATATAGGTACTAGAGGCATCCGCTATATCTTTATAAATGTATAAATATGTTGTGATCATTTTCCATTGTATGACGATTGTAAGCTGTTTTTGTACTGCCTGCACATGAAATAAAAAATTATTATTATTATCCCTTATTGTGCTAGCAAAAAAATTGTAGTGATACTAGTTAAATGCTCCAATTATAAATGTTGCTGAATGTTCACCATCTAAAGTCATCTGCAAAATGCTGTAGTTTCGGCTATAGTACTGGAACAGTAACAGGAGGAGGTACCAAGGCAAGAAATTGTATATTTGTTTTATTATTGAAGATAGGAAAAAAGTATAAGAAGCAAAAATACTATATACTTTATAAGTGATATAAAAACAAAAGAACATCAGAAAACAAATTAATTTTTTTAATAGAACGGTTACTTATTGTCTGTAATATTCTTAAACAGCTTGAAATTCTCTTTACAGTGATATCAAATATGTTATAATTACTTTAGAAATTATAGCTACAGTAGTAATGTTTTAAAATCAATTGCAGTAACTGTGGAAATTTAAATAAAAACAAAAAGAGAGTTTTTCACTTGTCCTGTCACAAAATAAGTTTAGTGAGCAATATTAACTTATAAGGCGATTCAAAAACTTAATTTGGAATATCTCGAAAATGGAAAAGGAAAGCACCTACCTATAAAGGGAAAATGCAATATTTCTAAGAGATTCTCTAAGGTCTTGATTATTTTCTTGCATTATATATAGCGTTGATTTTGAATGTATACCAGGCGGCATTGATTGTTTGAACTCGATTAGATTCATTAGCGACTTCAATTCTTTGTGTGCGTATCTATCTGTAATTCACTTTTTCGCCCGTACAGAGGTATATGTCCAAGGGACAAAGATACTTACCGGCATTCATCTTAAAATACAACTTTAGTCTAAGGTTACCATGTCCAGGACCTTCAGATACCTTCTGGACTGGAGGAGGTCCGGCTAATTAACAATGCATTTCATGTATTTTTTGTAAGAGACTTTGGTGCAAATCACTAGTCTTTGATCAGCTTGAAACACTTATTAGAGCGTTAGACTAATTAGGCATAACATCTGCGAAAGGGGGTGCTATGCTGTTAAAATTACTTTTTACAACTGAGTATTTACAAACATTTATTAAGAAGCTGTAATAAGTCATTACATATGTGTAACACTACTCTTCTCTCTTCTGTACGTCTAGGAATGATTACGGTTACTTGTGCGCTCAAAGTATTATTTCTTTTACCTTTCGTGCAGTATTCCTTAAGGTTTCCACCATAGACACATCCATCTGCCTCACCATACCACAAAATACTCCATCTTCTTTTTGAAGTAATGTATGGGGATGATCAAATTCGACTAGTTCTCCAGCGGACATTACCAATATTTTGTCGCAATCTATTATTGTATTAATTCTGTGTGCCACAGTAAGTACGGTGCACTTAGCAAACTTTGTTCTTATGGTATCTTGTATTATAGCGTCAGTTTCAAGATCAACATTAGCGGTGGCTTCGTCAAGAATCAAAATTCTATTCCTACGAATGATTGCTCGGGCTAAACATAGTAGTTGGCGCTGGCCCACACTCAGGTTGGAACCATCGTGAGACACTGAGAAGCTCAAGCCTGAAAATGGTATGAAAGATGAACACAATGAACGTGTACAATTTACCTGACGGTAGCTGGTTGACAATCTCTTTCAATTTAACATCCTCCAAAGCACTCCACAAGATGTCATCGGGGAATTCTTTGAACGGATCCAAATTGTTCCTAATTGTACCAGAAAATATGACGGGGTCTTGAGGAATAATTGACATTTTCTTTCTTAAATCATGTAAACCGATGATAGTGATGTCAACTCCGTCAATGATTATTGAACCTTTGGTCTCGGCAAGTTGAAACAGTGCAGCAATTATCGAAGATTTGCCAGCACCAGTCCTGCCAACGATTCCAATTTTTTGTAAAGGCTCAACAACAAAGTTTAAACCTTTTAATACAAAGGGTTCGTCTGGGGAGTATCTAAGGCTGACGTTTTTAAATTTAATACCGCCTAATGATGGCCATGCGACAGATGGTTTAAGGTTGGGTGCACTCTTCAGGGCACGCTCTCCTTCAATTGTGGTGTACTCCAATACACGTTCTACTGATACCATGCAGTTTTCAACATCGGTTAAATGGCGCATTCCCCACGGAAGCTGTCCGATCAGACGTAGAGATTGGGTTATCACAAGGCCTACGTTTCCACTGTACGCTTCTAAATTTAGATGGCTAATAAACTGAGAGGGTTCGGTGTAGGTAATAGACTTACCTTCTTTAAGCATGTAAAATATAACAGTAATGCTCACGAATATAAATGATAACAAGTCGATCCAATATCCGAATGCTCGGGACACTGAGTATGACATATGAAGTGCGGTACTATGTGTATCAAGATAATTGTTGAACTCGTTCGTAAGTGTTTCTTGAACCCCGAAGGTTCGAATGGTGGGCAAACCTTGCAAAGTAGCTTGCACGTGTCCATATAAAGGACTTCGAACTAAATAATCATTTTCTTACAATTGTTAATCCCTCATTATCCTTACCAACACTTTCAACTCTTAATATTCCCAAATTTGTGCTTAGGTAAAATCGCCTTATGAAGAACAGTAACCCAAGCACCAAGACAGTGGGAATAATAAACCATGGATTGACTACACAAATGACAATCAGAAGTCCACTGACATTTAAAATTATTAGGATAGCTATAACAGCCATATTCGGTAGCACCTCATCCATCGAAAGCAAATCCTTTGAGAAACGATTGAGGATCCGTCCAGACGTGTTTGAATTAAAAAACTTCATACTGGAATGCAATAAACGCGTGAACATTGTATCGTGAAGAGATCTTGAAGATGCCATGGTTAGGGTCACAAACGTTATCAATCTTAGAATTGCAAAACAGACGGCAGCTACAGCAATACCGCAATAAACTTGCATGTAAATGCCTCTATCTTCAACATGTTGATGTTGCTCCACATTTATCCTGTAAGAAAATTGCATTTCAGCTCATATTCCTTTCACCATCTTTACCAGTGCCCTATGAAGTAGATTGATCCACTTATAGACAATTCAGCAAAGATAAACAGAAGCACTGTACAGATAACAAACAAAAGATTGTTAGACGCAAATAAGTATCGTTTGTAAGTGCCGATGGAAATGAATCCTGACTTTCTAGCTTCTTGAACTTGTGCAGGATCTTTTACGTTGCTCGGGTTTAACATGGAATCCGAATCCGCACGCGAAGCCGAGTGGTTTTGGGATATGTATCTTGACAAGTCAAATTTCGAGGCTTCCAATTCTTTTTCAGAGCTTTGCATTTGTACGGCACCTTCGTCTAAGGCAATAACGTAATCAACATATGCTAAGTACTGAAGTTGGTGGGTTGCTAAAAGTACTGTCTTTTCGTTTAGAAAAGCTCGAATGCAGTTTTCAAAAATATGTTTTCCTACCCGTGAATCAACGGCCGAAAGAGGATCATCGAGCAAATAAATGCCTGCTTTCCTGTAAACGCATCGAGCCAAGTTTATTCTTGCTTTTTGACCTCCACTCAAAGATGTACCGCGTTCACCTACAATGGTTTGGTCTCCATGCGGAAATAGCTTGAGGTCTGTCTCCAATGCACAACAGTCAATCACCTTCATGTATCGTTCTTCATCCATCTCACTACCGAAAAGGATGTTTTGTCGAATGCTTGCTGAAAATATCCATGCTTCTTGTGGTGCGCAGCTCAAAGAACCATTAACGCACAACAGCCCTATTGATAGTGGTAACTCTCCTTGTATAACCTGGAACAAGCTAGATTTTCCACAGCCAACTGCTCCAATTAACGCAGTTAAAGAATTCTTTTTTATGTGTATGTTTATATCCGTCAGCGTATTCCGATTTCCATTTTCATCCCACTTGGCAAATCCGCTAGTGATGGCCACTGCTGATTCACTATCTTCGGATTTTGTATGGAAGTCAATTTCTTGAGACTGTAAGAATGCGGAAATGCGTTTCAGTGATACGCGGAATTCCGCTAGAACTGCTATGCTAAGCGGGAAGAATGTTGTAACCGTTAAACCAAGCGAAAAGAATAGGTTCATGGTTATAAACACCGCCGTTGCCTCGAAGGCATCGTTCAGTAACACTGAAGATATGATAGTTATAAAGATAGATGTTGCAATTAAAATTTCATTGAAAGTGAACAAGCCTTTCAAGTATGTCGACTTCATCATGGAATCTACTTCTAACTTGCGGAACGTCGATATAATCTCAGCGAAGGGTTTCTCCCAGGCATACATTTTGATTACATTTATTCCCTGAATTAGTTCATTGGTTAACCGTATGCGTTCATCTCGTCTCGTTGACACTTTCAATCGATACCTTTTCAATATGCTCCCCAATAAAACTTGAATGCTACGCGTTAAGTGAGTTTTATTGTAAATTTGGCTTACCATAAACAGGAATAAACATAACCATGAATCCAATTCCAAATGTGGACGAAACACCAATTTTCGTCCACGCTAAATACAGAAATAGAATTGCTTGTAACGGACCAATCCATAACATGTGAAGCAAGCCTCCAACTCGCTCAAATGCGTTAATGTCTCCAGAAAGTAAATTAATGATGTAACCAGGAGTCGATTTCCTAATTGAAGATGGACTTAACTTCAAAATTTTGTTATAAATTAAAGAACTACACACAACTCTCATTTTAAGTCCCATATGGTATGACGCCATTAAATATGGTTGTACTATCAGACAACAGAAAAGCGTTGATACTATTATTCCCAGGGAGTAAAGGTAAGAAGGGAATCCACTGCTATCCTTTTTTGCGTAATGGCCTATTAAACCTCCAAGAAACAACGCTTTGCATGGCCTGAAATCGTTTGAATTGCGGAATCGTAAATGCTACATTCCTCGGAAAATAGACTTACTGTGCTACAAAATTTTCACATCCAACGGCGATTCCTATAAGTAGAAAATCCCATCCCAATATTTTGACTAATACTTTCAATAGCGATGGTTTTCTTTTTTGTGCGATTGCGTTGTCTAATTCCTCCTGCCATAGAATTTGAGATTTTTTTCCTAGTATTGAGGCCTTATGCCCGGTGAAAGTTTCGTACAAGTCACTTTCGTTAATGTCTCTGGTGTTACCCAATAAGAATAACGGAAGAGTGTATCTGAAAGTTGAAGTTTACACCGAATTAATGATTGTTAATTATTGTTTACATCAGACTAAAAAAACTACATTTTATTATAGTTTAAGCTATTAAAGGAATACTTACAGAAATGTTAAGACAGTAAATAAGTTTGCATGTTCTCTAGGATTCTGTCTTTTCTTGGACTTTTTAACCTGCTCGTCCATTTAACCTATACCGAAGTTCAATGTTTACTGGACTATTATGTATATGAATGATTTAGCTTTATCTATAATGTAATACCTTATCAAAGACCGCCATTATAGTTTTTTTTTGTTTATAAGTTATAAATTTACCAACTGACTTAAATAGTAGCACATCGTGATAAATTTGTGCGAAAAGAAAGTGATTACGATTTAATCGAATTTATTTTTGCTTTTAATTTGTAACAATAGTTTTTTAAGCGCACAACAATAAATAAATAAATAAATAACGTTCCGGACATACGACTGAATTGCAGGTGGACCACTTTAAGCCACGCTTCTTTTTATTAGTGGTTCCTCCAGATATACAATCCCTTGTTGCGAGTAGCCAGCAGTAGTTTTTTTTGTTGAAAACTTCAATTAAACTCTCATTGGCTGTTATACACAGAGCGATATCTTTGGGAATTTCAGGCTTGGCGTTTTTTCTTAAATAACATTGGTCAAGTGAATAAATTAACTATGGAATTTTGATAGCTTTCACGTTACCTTGGTTCAAAATAGCTGATACGGATTTTGACTGTTTTCTGGTAAGAAATTCAAACATTAAGATTTATGAAAGCTTGGAAGCACGATTATTTATTTCTGATTGTCTTTCAACAACAGAAGAATCTTCACCTGCACCACAAAGACACCATTTTAAAAACAGCAGAAGTTCTTCAGAAAGGTTGAAACCAGTATCATCAAGGTAACCCTGAAAAGTCCATTTTGGTGAACTCAAACACGCTTTCTGCAAAATAAGGGCTGTCTTCAGTATTATTGTATCTAAATTAGTCACTTGATTTTTAGTGTCCTGTAGGGCTGCATCTACCTTAGGCTTGAGTGATTGGTTTTTCTTTTAGGTACAGAGAAAACGATATCAGGAATTACTTCATGTAAAAATCATTTTAAATTTCTGTGATTTGCAGGGGTTAAGAGCCAAAATAGGTTTCAACCTTGCATTTTGTGATAACTTTATGAAACTTTCAGAGGATGTTCTAGACACCTTAAGGTTCAATTTCAGCTATGCCGCCACCCCCGCATCCCCGGACGGCGCACTTGCTATAGCGGGTTTCTTAAGCGCAAGGTAGCATTTCAATACCCGCCCATAAAATGGGTCAAAAATGTATGTCCAGGGTTTGTTTTGTATTTTCTTACATCTAGGAAGGTTGAAGGGAATTGTCAAATACCCAGGGAGAATTTATTTAGGGTATTTTACGTGGTTTGCCTATTTTTAAGGAGCTTTTAACAGTGCGGACTAGGGAATGCAATCCCGCAGCAAAATCTCAATCTATAAGTCTATAACTTTTGATTGAGAAGTCTGATCGAAAAAGTACGAATTGTTTTGGATTCTACGCACCAAAATTAATAAGAAAAAGTGTTTTCCCGAGAAATTTTGGTGCAGTCGATTTTTGGTAAAAAAGGAAGGTTATACACTGCCTTTTTTTGAGACCCTCAAAAAAAATTGTCTCAGATCGACCCGGAAAAAAATTTTCTTATAGAATGTGGCCTGTAGAATCCATAATTTCAAACACTTCCTCGATTGGGCTACTAGTTCAAAAGTTACAGCCCTTTGAATTTTCTTTCGAAATTGGTTTCTAGTCTATAACTTTTGATTGAGAAGTCTGATCGAAAAAGTACGAATTGTTTGGGATTCTACGCACCAAAATTAATAAGAAAAGGTGTTTTCCCGAGAAATTTTGGTGCAGTCGATTTTTGGTAAAAAAGGAAGGTTATACACGGCCTTTTTTGAGCCCCTCAAAAAAAATTGTCTCAGATCGACCCAGAAAAAATTTTTCTTATAGAATGTGGTCTGTAGAATCCATAATTTCAAACACTTCCTCGATTGGGCTACTAGTTCAAAAGTTACAGCCCTTTGAATTTTCTTTCGAAATTGGTTTCTAGTAGGGAATGCAATCCAGCAGCAAAATCTCAATCCCGGTATATGCGGGATTGTTAGATGTTAATTCCGCGGGATCCCGGAATTTGCTCCATTTATGTGCGGGATTAATCTCGCAAAAATGCTGCGGGATCCCGGTATTTCGGGATCCCGCAATCCCGGTATTGCATTCCCTAGTGCGGACAGTAAAATCGTGACGGAGACCTCTTTTGGCTGCTCTATTGAATATTATACTATGCTTTAAAGTATTTATTGAGACATTACAATGCTGAAAGGAAAGTTAACAATATCTACGGCACTAAAATTATTGAGCCCTCTCTTGAGAACACTCGCCTCCGCAGTCGCACAATTCGGTGCAGGTCACATCGGACTTGACAAAGCTGCATCTTTGTGTGCAACCTTTCTTACATCCACATTTTACTAAGATTACAAAAGCTTCTGGAACTGGAGGTTTTAAAATCCAGACAGGCTCCCATTCTTGATCTTCACTCGAGTTTCTCCAACCCCAATCACATGGATCCGGAAGTTGCTGTTGCGCCAGGAGGCAATGTCCCCATACATGTCCTGCGAATGTATGTAGATTAAGTTTGTTTGTTGAATATGGATTCAATTGTAAATTCATCTATTCGCCTACTTACCGCCTCTTTTAAGAAAGGTTGCACACAAATATGCAGCTGTGCCAAGTCCGACATGCCCTGCACCGAATTGTGTTGTGCGACTGCGGAGGCGAGTGTTCTCAAGACAGGGTTCAATAATTATTTTAGTGCCGTAGTTATCGTTAACTTTCCTTTCAGCATTGTAAAGTCTCAATAAATACTTTAGAGCATAGTATAATATTCAATAGAGCAGCCAAAAGAGGTCTCCGTCACGATTTTACTGCCCGCACTGTTAAAAGCGCCTAAAAAATAGGTAAACCACGTAAAATACCCTAAATAAATTCCCCCTGGGTATTTGACAATTCCCTTCAACCTTCCTAGATGTAAGAAAGTACAAAACAAACCCATTTTATGGGCGGGTATTGAAATGCTACCTTGCACTTAAGAAACCCGCTATAGCAAGTACCATCCGGGGTTGCGGGGGTGGCGGCATAGCTGAAATTGAACCTTAGGGTGTCTAGAACATCCTCTGAAAGTTTCATAACGTTATCACAAAATGCAAGGTTGAAACCTATTATAACCCCCGCACTAACCCCCAGGAACGACTTTATACAGTTCTAAACAATATACACAATTAATATGCAAATTGAATTTTTAGTTTGTGATAAATAGAGGTAATAGGGGGGGGGGTCCCAATTAAGATTCCTTCCAAGTGGTAGTTCAGTTTAATGTCTTGTAAATGGCAGAAAAATTTAGGACGAGATAAACCACAACGATTTGGGTTTGGGTGGGGTTTACAGACAAGAAATATTATATTATTTTTGGTGATTTAGAAAAAAATTCCCTGTACGCGTTTTCAGTGGAGTGGGTACATAGATTTAAGTGTTTTCCAAAAATAAAAATTGAATACTAGTAAAGGCACTATATTTACTTTCACTTGTAATTTTTTTACAACTCCTTTGGGATGCAATTACTTAATTAGAAAATACGTCGTATACAGAGAGAAATTATAACATAAAATATTTATATTATTTTAAAACAATAACAATATATCAGCCATTGCCCAACATTTACATTACCATAATATCATTACCTAATGCGCTATAATACAAGAGGGGAGAAATCACATTGTCTGGGTAGTGTCTTTATAAAAGAGGTGATCATGACTGACAATTGCGCTCACTTTATATTTACGGAAACCCCTATACTACATTATTTAAAATTCTTAAACTTAAAACCTTCCAGTGAAATATTGTATGTAGAAAATAGTAATTGTATCTATAATTATTACATTAAATATACTGTGTACATGGTGATTATTAAAGCTTGGTTGATATAGTTCGTATAGTATGTGTCTGAATTTGAATTCAGATTCAAATACAATCGAGAAATTACCAGTGATTTGACCTATTTTTTGTTTTCGATCATACTTGTAATGAATTACAAACCCATAGCCCATTTCACTCTTTTAATGCACAGCATCAAAAATATAACTGTGTACCAGAAGATCTGAATTAGAAATAATGTCCATGAACCTAGCAGAGCAAGGTCAGCAGAACACAATCAAACATATTGCATAATTAGGTGCTAATTAAGTGTCCTATTTCCGAATTAAATGCTCCTTTTTTTTAAATTAATACATGTTCTGCCAGGAGCATTTAATTCGGGAATAGGACACTTAATTAGCACCTAATTATAGTTAGTTCACTTTTCATTTTCTTGGGTTTTTAAGGTAGTGCTCTGCTGAGTTCATAGTTCACACGAACCTGGCAGAACATGTATTAATTTAAAAAAAAGGAGCATTTAATTCGGAAATAGGGCACTTAATTAGCACCTAATTAGCACCTAATTAGGCAATATGTTTGATTGTGTTCTGCTTACCTTGCTCTGCTAGGTTAATGGACATCTAGAAATACTCCGAGTTGAAGAACATCGACTCAGAAATTTCCCGTAGGAACGTATATACCTAACAAGAGCGCAATATATATTTCTAAATATTTTCAGTCAAATTTATTTGTTGCTTTTAATAAACGTTATGTAGCTTTCTCCACCCCGATCAGTTCTTCAAATAGAGTGTAGATGCTTTTTGTTTTTGGCGTTATCATTTGTGAGGAATATCGCAAAGTGGCCTCTGCCAAATCCTTAACTGTCCATTTCCGATCGATTAGTATTCGGCAAATTGTATCCAGCATGGCGAGCTGCTGATGGCCACATGTGTAGTATACAAGTGCGGGCACCCCTGCGACGCTAGCCGCCAACCACTGTATAATGACCTTCAATTGAACTTCTCCACCCTTGGAAGAGCCGCAACCCCAGTTTCCCGTTGTGACAACCTTCAAGCTACCCTTGGGTCTCTGTGCGATTTGAGTTAGCTAAAATTGAACCATAAGAAGATTTCATGGTTTAACCGCCTATACCAATTGAGCCGCCAGCCGGTGCTTTTGCCTTGCAAGTTCCAAGCTCAACGATCTGGCGTTTAGCACTATTTTACTTTTATTGAGCACCGTGTGGTTATCAGCATTGCTGCTAGTTGCGTTAATGCAACCTTCAGTCAACGGAACACCTGCGAATGATTCGCTCAAGGTACGTTTCAGCAAAGATCCGGCAAATTGCACCACGGCCATATCGCGTTGATCCAGCACGCGTTTCTCCTCCTTGTCCGTTTCCAGGATTGGATCTTTCAACCACTTCGAGAATTGCTCGTAAACCTCTTCTAGCTCGGAACTGAAAACCTGAGTTTGATTGACATTGAAAACCAACCTACGAACCTAAACTCCGTGCTCAAACTCGACTCTGTAGATTTTACCGAGTCTTTTTTACTTAGCGAAGTTTGCTTAGTTTTAAATTTATCTATCCACTCCTGCTCTTGCTGCAAAGAAGTCTGCAAAAATTCCTCATCCAGCGACTCCTCTTTTAGTATGAAACCGGTTGAGCCTCCTCTACGCAACCTTTGTCACAGATTACTTTAGGATGCAGCGAAAGTGGTTACTTACTTGATGTTTTGGTCTTCGACTTTTGATCCGGTTACGGAGATCCCTACCGCGTAGTTCGATTCAGATGACGTCGTATTCTCTTCTCTGTGTAAAGCGTCTCGAAGTCTTTGTGCGAAGGAATGTCGTCTTTCGGCTGTTCGCAGATCGGCGTTGTACCGCCGGTTACTGTCTTCGTCTTCGCTACCTTAACTTTTACATTTACTACTTAGTGATCTAAGGTTAAACATCCTACCTTCCTCGAAGCTAGTTTTGGCACTGTGATATTCTTCACTTGATGAACAACTTTCCGGTGGCGTTAGGCGAATAGGTTCGTGGCGATTCACTGGAAGACATTCGCCCGACGAACCGAGCACTATAAATCGCCCTTTTCGATTATTTAATGTGCCCGTGGGAGCTACCCGTAATTTATCCCAGGATAATCTGTTTCTAATGTCGTGCGGGGACTGCGATCTATTTGTACTGCACGATTCTTGTGTTATAAACGGCACTGCCTTTTCGGGCGGTTCAATCGAGGAACCAACCGATTCCCCTATGGGAGATAATCTTCGTTGGCGGAAACACTGCGCTTGCCCTTCAGGTACTTCGTTGGATTTCGTGTTTTTCTGTTGAAACGCCAGAAGGCATTTGTTTAATTCCCTTAAAATATTATCTTCTTCGTATTGACTAATTGGATATTGAGTGTAATTCTCGGCATCAATGCACGAAACGGATATCTGCCAATTAAATGCGTTATCTATAAACGAAGCTTCTAGTGCTTTGCAAAATGTTAACACTATTCGGCGTTATGAGATTACCTGGCGGGGCACTTCTATTTTTTCTAAGCATGCACGGTTTTTAGGATCCAAAATTCTCGTTATATGCCTGGGTTTTTCTACCATGAGGACTTCATTGTCTTCTAACGCTTCTACATGCAGTAAAACGGATAGAATTTCGGGAAAGGTGACTAAACTAATACATTCCTAGAACATAAACGTAGAGAGTCTTTGGAAAGAGCTACACTTACCTGAGATACGCCATCCAGTAACACTCGTCCTCCAATTTTTGAGCTAGAAAAGCAGACTTGCATAGTGTCTTCGTCGGATCTTTCCAACCTTCCCTCGTGTTTAATCTGCAAAGGACACAGTGGCAATGTGCACTCTAACCAGTCTTCGATCGTCAACCACTCTTTGCTTGACATCACCTGTGAAATACTGTGATGCAATGACGATGTTTATGTGGATCACTGCTGGAAACTCACTTGACGTACGACCCGCATGTACCCTACTGAGTTAGTGTTCGTCCCTAACCAGTCAAAATAGTACATGAAACTTCGCAGCTTCGCTTTCTGCGAATTGAGACCTAGCGACTTGAAAAACGTTACAAAATTAAAGTTCTGCAATGTCGGATGACTTTTATCAGTTCTTTTTGGAAATGTGGAAAAAAATGCGTTGGCTATTAGTGACGAAACAAAATTATAATCTATTTCCGTAGAATCGGCTGTAAAAGTTTACCGTCTTCAAATTGTACACAAACCGTAATTTATTATTACATTGCTGTTGCAAGCTGAAGTGAAGGCCCCTCTTTGGTTTCCATTTCTTAAGGTTCATCGCTCTATTTACAATATTTGGTAATGTGTTATTAAAAAAGTTTGTCTTTTCTTCGGGAGTCAAATCATTATCTAGGAATTCGGCTAAATCGGCGAAAGTTTCTCGTTCTATTCTCTCTTCATCATCAGGATCTATACTTATGCTGAAATATGCGGGATGAAATGACAATTGGACCTATTCCGTGGAACTTACTTGCATAGCTCGTGAATGTTTCGCATTCCTTCCGTGAGGTCGGATGTGTTTTGGGCTTGTAGAAGTTTTGTTAGATGTCTTTGAACGGTACCCCACCATGGAAGTTCGCAAGGAAGCATAACTAAGGCCATTTCGTTTCTGAAACCGATAAGCATCAGTTTAGTATAGGGGAAAGTATTCCTGGAAGAGAGTAATCCGAAATATGGAGCGATGGTAATGAAAGAGTATTGGTTTTTGAATTTGATACATTCAAAGATATATTCTTTTAATGATTCGATATGTATATAGCAAGGTTCTTCATTTTTTAATCCCTGAGCACGTATTCCGAACGTTTATTTTTTTTAGTCTGCACTGTTGCGTGTGTTGTTAATTAAGATTACAAAACATGTTTCAGTGACATGTATTTAATAAACTCGAGGCGTTTCAGGAACAAACGATGATTTAGGGTGCATTTTTGATAATCGTGAATGTTGAAAAAGGTTGAAAATTATTCCTAATTTTTTGGGCGTAAGTATAGGGTGACATTTGGCTCCAAAATTTAATGGTGTGCTGTTAAATCGAAATGGTGTATATTTTTACTTTACGAGGAAACATAAAATTTTCTCAAATGTAACTTATTATGTTATGAACAAATCCCTTAATAAATAAACAACTTAGAAACGAAACTGGACATAAGTCTTTTTATAATGCTATACTGCACTATTTTTTGAACCTTTTCAGCTTGTCCGAATTGTTAAATCCTTGCAAATTGTTGCATTGTACGTTAATAGAGCATGGTCCTGTAGATATGGGCCTGGTATGATTTGATATGGTACGATATGGGCATGGCACATTAAACTTGTACGCCAACCTTCAGTGTATTTCGATCGTGACCGTGAGCATTCATTTCGCAAAGTTTTTTTCCCAGCGTTCGCTTTTGGGTAAGTCATTTTTGCCTTTCAATTACACGTTTAATTGGTAGCACATATAAAGCGGTGGTTACTGCCCTTTTAGGGCACCTATTACACATGCAGATTCAAATTAAAGCGATCAAAAAGTTAGAAAACGGCATTCCTACCTGGAAACAAAGCGTATTGTGAAACGTAAATTGTATCTGGTGCAAACTATCCTAATTATAATAGTTTTATATTTAGATCCTAAATTATAGAATCCATTTGCCCAATTTGTGCCCTTGATTAAACTTAATTTATTTAACTCAATATAATATTGTTAGCTATTTTAATCAATTGAAAGTGTTAATTAATTTTAAAATGCGTTTTACATTACCTAATAATACTACTCGCTACCTAACCATAACAACACAACATGGTAGATCGTACTTAATTTTTGTTAGATGGAGCGAGCTATCGGGATGTGTCTAACGTGAGGGCGTCGCGACGCTCTCTTGATTCGCGCTTTCGCCAAGTTGACGATTTTCCTTTCGATCTATGTCCTTGCAAACGCGCCCTTTTACTTAATTAATATTTTTTATGCGGTATCTCAACGTTATTAAGATTCAAAAAAGTATTAAAATTTAAAGGTGCAGTGGTGCACTATCTGTTATACGCTCAGCGTGTTTTATGTTTAAATAAACGAGATAGCAAGTGCTTATCATTGTTGTAAAATGTAAGTATCTATCATGGTACCATTTGATAATTTCATTTAGCAAATTATTTATTCATGTTTTCGGGGTACACTTTATTCATTATAAATAAATTTCAATTTTCAGGAACGCTCTACATGAACATTCTTTTACGTCCAATTAATATTATTAAATTAAAAAATCATATCAAACTTATGTTTTCAGAACGTCTCATTAATAGGTAGGTACTATTAAATAAAAAGATCGTATCTCGGTAACGAAGCATTTGCGTATCAATATTGATAGGGCCGTTTCGACTCGAATTCAACTAAGGAATGTGTAGGAAATTTGTCCCTTTCCTCGCGGTACATCCTGTATAATTTTGTAACGCTTATTAACGAGCGACAAATTTTATTTATTATTTTGGACTTTCTGTCCGTCCCTCCTCTCGTCCGTCTGTGTACATGATAAGATGATAACTCACGAACGGTTTCGAATTTTCCAGTTCTGTTTTGAGCAATAGGTAGACAATGGTCAAGGGACTAAGTGAATTTTCGCTCCAAATCAATAGAATTAATGTTCTTCTTTACCCCGAGGGAAATATTTTGATCTTCGTTAGAGTTAAACTGGTTTAACTGTTGATTTCAAAATCATTGAACGAAGTCAAGTGTTCCTTCCACCCCCATTTCTACAGTTCGTACATACACACCCCTCCCACCATTGGACCAAACAGGTATTTTCTTGTTCGAAAGTCATTTTTGAAGCGTCCCTGTTTTCGTAATTCTCTTATTTGCGCATTTACCCCATTATTTCATTGCAATTGGTACGTAGATTGGTACCATAAATATTTCACTTATCTTTTTCTCTACTCTTTCATCCCTCTATTTCCATCCTCCTTTTCTCTTCATCCTTCTCAAAACCTATTATCTTCGAATTTCCGACATTTAACTCTCTAATTCCCTTTCTTTCCCTTCTTTCTTGTTGTACCTCAGTTGCAATTTTTATTGCGTCGTGCGCGTATATCATCCAGGGACCATATCTTCACTTTTCCTACTACGATCTCTCCACGTTGACCCGTTCTTAATATTTTTTTCTATGTCTTAATGTAGAAATTGAATAAAGTTGGGACTAAGGGAGCATTCCCGTCTCATTCTTTTCTCTATATATAATTCCTTGATTCTATCCTTTAGCTTCTTATCTATTTTCCCTATTTCCATCATTTTCCATACTTTTTCTCTAGCTTTTTCCCTTTCCACTCTGTCAAACACTGCCTTTAGTTCCATGAAAAACCTAAGGGGAAGCAAGTACTATTTTTGGTGTACACCAAAAATTCAAATTCAAATTAATTCACGTTAATTCAAAATAATTCACGCAAAGTCATGCTAATTCACGTTTATTCAAGTTAATTCACGTAAATTCAAATTAATTCTCGTAAATCCAAATTAATTCACGTTAATTCAACTAATTTACGTTAATTCAAAGATATTCACGTTATTTCAGTTTAATTCACGCGTTAATTCAAATTGAATCACTTTAGTTCACATTAATTCACGTTCACGTATTCAAATTAATACATAGGGGTGTACACCAAACATTCAAAGTTCTTTCCATCCAGAATTTTTCCAAGGCAAATTTTTACCAGAACTATAGTTTGCCAGTAAAATATTCCAACGGCGGACTTTTTCTAGGGACAAATTTTTTACACAAGTATATAAAAAAAAATTTTCCAAGAGCAATTTTATCAATCTTAAATTTTCAGGGCGAGAATTTTTTTTAGCCTACATTTTCCGTAGGTAAATTTTTCGGAAGCGAATTTTTCGTAGCGAATTTTCCCAGAACAAATTTCCTTGGAGTTAATTTTGGGAGTCAAATATTCTAATAACCACTTTATTCGGTAGGCAAATGTTTTAGGAAAGAAGTTTTCCAGGAAGCTCCCGAACATTGTTGGGGGGTGAAATTTTCACGCAAATATTACGGGAGGAAAATTCGTAGAGGCGACTATTCCCTATATGAATTTACGGGTTGAATCTTACAGGGAAGCATTTAAAAAGGCAATTTTTTCATAGCGAATTTGCCTTGTATATTTTTTTCGGAGGACAAGTCTTTAGGGGTCAAATATTCCAGGGGGGATTTTTAGAGCGCATAAAATTTTCTAGTAACGAATTATTCACGCAAGTATTATAGCGAAGGTAGATTTTTACGAGCCTTTTTTTATGAGAGCGATTTTTCCTAGCGAATTCTCAGGAGATTTCTAAGGGCGATTTTTTTTACAGGAATCGGTGTATTTTCGAGAAACGAATTTTCCAGGGAAAATTTTAACAGGGCTAGTGTTTGTGGGTCAAATATTCCAACGGAGATTTTTTCGAGACTAAATTTTCTGGTGGCAAACTTTTCACGCAAGTATTCCAAGGAAAAGTTTACCGAAACGATTTTTTCGTGTTTAAATTTTCAGGACAAGAATTTTTCCATAGCGAATTTTCCCAAAGCGAGATGTGTTTTTAAGCGTCAAATATTCCAAGGGCGATTTTTTCGAAGCTAAATTTCCAGGACAGGCGACTTTTTCAAGCCTACATTTTCCGGAGGCGAAATTTTCCATAGGGAATTTTCCCAGAAAAAATTTTCCAGGAACAAGTCTTTGAAGATCAAACACAATAGTGATTTTTTTCGAGGCTACATTTTGAGGATGAGGATTTTTCTATAGCGAATATCTCCAGTGAGAAACTTTTCCGGGAATAAGCCTTTAGGGGTGAAATATTCCAAGGGCAAATTTTTAAGCGCAACCAAATCTCAAGCGAATTTTCTCGGGATTTACAAGGGCAATTTTTTTCAGGAATCGTTGATTTTTAGAAATGAACAAGTACCATATTTGGTATACACCAAACAATCAAATTCAAATTAATTCACATTAATTCATTTGAATTCAAATTAATTCACGTTAATTCAAATTAATTCACATTAATTGTAATTAATTCACGTTAATTCTAATTAATTCAGACTAATTCAAATTGATTCAGGTTAATTCAAATTAATTCAAAGGAGTGTACACCAAAAATTCAAAGTTGTTTCCCCCTAGTGAAAAACGCTATCACCGCTCCGTCCCTTTTTTATCATTCTTTTCCACCAATTTGTGTAATGTGTAGTATACAGTCGATCCTTCCTCTCCCTTTTCTGAATCCCCTTTGTGATGCTCCTCCTTTTCTTTTCTAGTTCTCTTTTTAATCTTCCACTCAACACAATTGCATATATTCTGTACGTTGTTATCATTACCGTGATTCCCCTATAAGTTCCCATACAGTCTTTATCATTCCTTTGGTTGCACTATTACCTCATCCCTTCATTCTTCAGGTAGTCCCACTTCTTTCCTTATTTTTAATTTTTAATAGAATCCTCACCTTTTCTTTGATTCTATCGGTGGCGAAAATGCACGCCTGATTTTCTATTTCATCTCTCCCTGCTGGTTTTCCTTTCTTCAGTTCTTTATTTGTATTGCTCCCCCACATGTTCTATTTTTGGCGCATTTTAAAGAATTAAAAAAAATGTGCTATTGTTTGTGCTTTGCGTTTAGGGGAATGGCACAAGAGTCATGGGAATTTTTGGCAGCCTTTGCCTTGAAGCCCCCCCCCCCCTTGAATTGTTTTCTGAGATGGTGTTTTTGAAAGTAAAACGCGTGAATAACATTTACGTGCGATTATTTTGCATACGCATGCCTTTAGAGGTGCCAAGTCAAACTGTCGAAAATAGGCTGGAGCAAGGGGGGGAAAATTTGAAAAAAATACGCTATTATATTCGTTATGGCTGGCAGGCCGGTTGTCCGCGTTAGATCTCCACAACTAGAATAGCTAGAGAATTCAAATTTTCACTAAAAGCTTTCTGCTATAGTGTAGATGTGCAGGCACTATTTTGAGTTAGATTACTTGTGAGATCGATAATTGAAGAAAATAATTTCGATATGGGTTTCGGAGGTGCTATAATTTTACCGTTAGATAGCGCTACCAGTATAAAAACTTATTATTTACTTTGTGATTTGTTTTACAAAATGAAGACGTACCGTCAATTGAAATTAACTAAAATTAATTATTTAACGCAGCCAAAATTACTCGTGAGCTCGATAATTTTAAACTTCGCTAATAAAATACTGACCTGCATTACCAAAAATGCGCTTTAATCATGCATATACCTATGCTGATTTACAACTTGTTTTTCTATTTCTCCATCTTTTTTTCTTTACATTTTCTTTGGTACCTTTTTTCTACTAAATTGTTCTCCTCAATTTCTCCTCTTGTTTCTTTCTCCATATAATTAGATTATATTCTGTATAAGTATAAGCCCAGCTGCTTTTCTCTTTTTGATGTACACTGTTTGCCATCACTCTATTTTTTCTGTCAAGTGGTGTCAAGTAAACTTTTGAACATGGTGGGGGGGGGGGGGGGGAGTGAACTAACATTCTAGCCTTTTATGGTATTCTAAGGAATGGTCTCATCAAATTAAATTGGATTCTACAAATTATAACTTTCCTTTGCGAATAGTAATCTACCGCCATTCTTTCTTGCCCCTTATCAAAATAGAGGGTGGGTGGGAGCGGAACTAGTTTTATCCTTCATGGTACTCAACGAAAGGAATTAATTTCTGCCACCTATAGTTTTCCTCTTCGATCCCTTACCGTGATCGGTTATAATTTCATACCTAGTGAAAGTCACCTTGCATTTTTGTCAGTTTAAAACGAAGACTCTTTTTATTATGGTATTATTATTTATTCCAATGTCTAACTAAAGAAAATTGCAAAGGTCGCGAACTATTACATATTTACGTGAACTTCCTGCATGATAAAGTGGATGACGTTTAATATTCAACTATCGTATGGCACACGATTACTCATATGGTATAACGTTTTTTATTGTTATGTAGACAATAATTGTGTTTGTCCCCATTTTCTAATTATTTTAAAACCCAAAATTAATTTAATTGGGATTGCTGAAGTGCAAATGGAAATGACTGCAACCCAGACCCACAGAATTTACTTAGATCTAGATTACATCTTGCTAGACCTTTTATGACACCATTCCGATTTCCTGTGCGTTTTGATCATTTAAAATCAACATCGCCAATCTGTATCTTTATAGTTTTTTTAGGCGAGCACCTTTGGACAGAATTAAAAAAAAGCTTATCCAATCCCAAGCTTGGTTAAGGTTGAATGTGCGGTGCATTGATTTCTTTGTCTTTATGTAAAATACAAAGTCGTTAGTGTATATTGTAGAATTTTCTATTTGGCATGACTCGACTCGGGATCAATTTAACTTTACACCACCGTTCTCGTTTCTTTTAGTGCAAAACATCAGTCGAATGGGATTAGGATAGATCTCGGGTTTATTATATCTTTTGGGCGAAAAATATCTTTTCGCAAAGACTGTCAGTCCATAATAATAATTTTAATAATAATAATAATTTATTAGACCTTTGTAGCTATTTTTACAATAGATAAGGCTAGTCACACAAAGAAAATCAATAGGTATAAAACACACACATTGTACAAATATTGGACAAACATTATTATTTAGATGACATTCAAGTACTCTTGGATTGTGTAACAACACTTTACAATGAGTAGGTCTTTGAGCACATTTTTGAAAGTGTTTGTATTAGTGATATTCTTGATGTCAGGTGATAGTACATTGTAAAGGTAACACCCTGCGTACTGGACCGACTTCTTGAATTTTGAGTGATGGCATTTCGGAAGATACAAATTATCTCCAGATCTAGTGGAATATTCATGGTTGTCACGGTTTCGTTTTAAAACTAGTCGGTGTTTATGAATGTACACTAAAATTTTTAACAAGTAAACTGACACAAAGGTTAAAAGTCTATTATTTCTAAACGTGTCTCTACACGATTCGTTAAATTTTAGATTGTATATACGCCGGATTACTCGTTTTTGTAAGGTAAACACTCTACAAGCTTCTGTTGATTGTCCCCACACGATAATGTTGTAACTAAAAGCAGAATACACTTTGGCATAGTAAACTGAGAGTAACGCATTTTTGTCCAGGTAATTAGTTAAATTAAGGAAAAGATAGTGTAGTTTTTTTAATTTTGTACAGACGAGGTCAATATGGTCAGAGAAAGTCAACTTACTATCGATAACAGTTCCCAGAAAAGTAGCTTTTTCAACAAGATTAATAATTTGTCCGTCGTCGGTTTGAATTGAGATAGTTTGGGGGTTTCTAGTTCCGTAGCTGAAGCCTATACACGCTGTTTTGTTTATATTGACTTTCAGTTTATTATAAAAGCACCATTTCATAAATAAACTGAGCGCAGTTTCGAGCTTTGATATCGTTTCTTCTTGAGTTGAGGCTGAGACGATAATAGTGGTGTCATCGGCATACATAAAGAGAATGCCATATTTTCCCAGATACTCGACCATATCGTTAACGTAGATTAGAAAAAGCATTGGAGCAAGGGTACTTCCCTGTGGAGTCCCAATATCGATATTAAATTGTTCTGATTTCTCTCCCTTTATGTGAACTCTGAAACTTCTATCCGACACGAAGGAAATCACCCATTCGTTAACTTTTCCTCTAATGCCTGCTGCATTTAATTTTTCTGCAAGTAGTTCATGGTCTACAGTGTCGAAAGCCCGTGAGATGTCGAGAAGCGCTGCGATCACTACTCTCCCACGGTCCAGTATAGAAGAAAAGTGAAGTTCTGCTCAGATACCGTGACCAGAATGAAGTACCAGAAGTGGCCGGTATTTTTGTAGATGGGGCTTAAGAAGTTTTTGATAAAGACTTCTCCTGTAATGTTTGTAAAAGTACCATCAACCATAATTTCCAGTGGGGACAAGACCACGTTCTAGGTGGAGCTCAGCCCCACCTGGCCACCTCTTGGCTTTATTTTTCATTGTCTTTGGGAAAATCAAAACTTTCTCTTCGAATTTAGGGTTTCCTAAAATCAGTGATGTTCGGCTTGAAACTGGACCAATTTTGCCAAATTTGTAAGAAAATGTAGGCCTTTTTTTTACAGATTGGTAATATGCGAAAATTAAACAGCTTTGTTTTATTTACATTGAATAACTGAATGAATATTTACATCAGTACTTATTTATGAATGAGGAATGCACCACATATATCTGGTACCTTGAATATCTTAATTATATACTATTAATTATTTAACTGCAACTAACAAAACAGTTTGTACTTATGAATTGGATGAAATGTTAAATAACGTAGGTGTAGTCATCGTTATGATAATTGAGGTTAATTGAACCTCTTACCTATTTTCGCACTTTAAAAAGTTAACTAGGATAATTTGTACGAATACTATTTTTACGTTGGTCTAATTAGCGAAATGAAAATAATGGAAAGTAGTACAAAAATGTTTAAACTGAATTTTTGCGCGTTATTATTGGCGCATACTTTCTTAATATTGTAACTTTCCAACCCCCTTTTCGTTAGGAGGTCGTGTACATCACTAAGTTCGGACCTCGATAATCTGGGAACTCTCGATAGTATTGCGGTGTATAGCTGCTGATCGGGAAGCTGCCTGCAAAATGTTAAAACCAAATGATTCCCTACGGCTTTTATGATCTGGACGGTGCCGGCAAATTGGTTGTATTGTTGCTCTAAAGCAGAACCATTGTGCGGTCCGGAACTGATCCAAAACCCAGATTTGGAAATATTGTACCTCAAGAAGTACTCTACGTAATTTCCATTTTCATCCCAAAGTAGCCTTAACCTTTTGATATCTTCAGCGTATCTTCTCTGGTATTCATCGATATATTGTCTTCCTTGTTGCGTGCCTGAGTATACTGGACGTTGGTAAGGCACGCCTTGCCCATAGGGATTACTTTGACCATAAGGAGACGGTTGACTGTGAGTGGTTCGATAGGGATCTGCAAGTATTCTCACATACAAACCACATCTACTCTTTCGTATACCCACCTTGGTTGTAGTCGGTTGAGGGATAACGGCCTTGGTCGTAATTCAACTCGTAGTTGTTGTCATAAGGGTAAATCGGCTGACCAACATAAAAAGGCGGAACTGTCGGCGAGTTATCCTCCGATATGTGGATAATCGGACAAGAGTCGACAAACCTGGATCCTAATCGTTCTTCATTGTGCTTATGGGAAATTACTTCCACTCCATACCACATTCCCATTAACTGAGTAAAAATGTTAATTAGCGGAACGTTCCCATTGAAATATTTATATCTTTAATCATCAATAAGCCAAAAAGCCTCTTACATCTGAATGAAACAATTGAAATTTCCGGGTACTTACATATATTAGGATAATAACTCAAATTTAATAATTATTAAACACAATTATACTAGCCAGTATCATGCCGGTTTACAATTTTGAGGTTTTAAATACCCGACATCCTCGGTGCCGAAATTGGGGAAACGCATGCATGACAAATAAAACTGTACCTACATCACAACCATACCTGTTCAATATTAACGTAATACTGGGGGTTCATATCAGGACAGTACCTGTTTGAAAAAACGTCCGCCTTTGCTAAAAGTATGACGTTTAAAATAATCGCGAAATACAAATATGAACCCATTTTGGAAATCTTTTCGGCAGTGTTAGCAAATGTAGACACCGTGCACAACTAAATTTAATATTAAAATTTTTATTACCTATACCTCTCTTTTAACGCTTATGATGTGGGTGAGGAAGGATTACGTGCCTATTAAAGCAATTTAATTCAATTAACCACAAAAAATTTTAAATGCGGCAGAAACTTTCCGAGCGCCACCTTTCCATTGAACTACAAGTGGACCGTTTTAAATAGCAACGTGCGATTTTTTTGGCGCGTGGTCCGGCAAAAATTTCTACGATGGTCTATGTAGGAGTGCGTTTCTTACGGTTTGACATAGGCGCCAATATATCGATTTGTCTACATTTCGTAGCACTCCCACGTGAAAAATTACTAGTCTTGATTTTAATCTGTGTCGGACGGTGCTCCCCAAAAATCGAAGGTAAACGCCAAATTTTTATTTTATAGTTTTGTTCGGTAATGTTATTATTTTCTAATAATTATAGACTGATCTGCATACGTGAATTTTAAATTTAGTTGAACCAATTTTTCTAACGCCAATACTATGTTTATAGCGTTCTATATTTATACACCAAAAATATTTCTCACGGTCATGTATCGATCACTTTGTAAATTCCAAAATCAATGGTAATTTTATCATTGCTGGTGTACCGTTACAGTCGCATCTCAAAATGCACTGTTTTTTTAAAATTTTCTCTGATTTTCAGTCTCGTTGGTTTATTATACCTATTCATGATATTTTTTTTATTGTGCTGCATATAAGACATTTCAGATGAATTAGCCATATAAGGGGTGATGAGTCATCGTCGTACCTATACTTACGTACTAATACGTTAATCAGAGCTTCAACTTTATTATTTGAAAACAAAATATTGTAAAAATCTGAATTGAATTCCATCTGATCTATAATTTTGCTGTAGAAGGCATTAACAATTAAAACGTCCCTATTGTTAATAGAGCAAAAAACTGTATTCCGAGCCATCAAAAACAAACAAAAACAAATTTGGACGTTGATATTTTGGTGGTCCCTAGAGGTATGGCCTAGGTATTTGTATTTCCTGTTGATGCTTTTGAGCAGGTCTCGGCCCGTGTGGATGTCCTGCAGGATCTGTGCGTTTGTCACCTTGGCCGTCCACGGGATGTCCAGCATTCTTCAGTAGGGCCACATTTCGAAGGACTAGATTTTTAGCGCATTTTTAAAGAATCAAAAAAAGTTGTACTTTTTGAGTTTTTCCGTCCATCTGTCCGTCCGTCCGGATCCACTTCTACGGTTTTGAACAACTTTTAAGTTTTAGGTTTAGGGGAATTCTGAAAATTTTGCAAAGGTTGCCTATACGTCCCAGACGGCCATCAAATTTTTTACTTTTAAATGCGACAATCACTTGATGTCAGAGTATGCTTACTCGTACCTTTAGTGGTTTGTTTGGATCCTGTCCACGCATTCGTCTCCTTGGTCGTGCTGACAAAGGTAGTGACTGATGGGGTGGTTTTTAAAAATTCCAAGTAAAACTTGAAAATGGGCTTGGGGGGGGGGGGGGACCACAGATTCTATCCTTCATGATATTTTAATGGAAGATTCTATCGAAACGAATTGGTAACTTTCCTACGCGACCCCTTTTCGAGATCAGTAGCTGATGGGGGTTGGGGGAGGGAGGTATTCTAATCTGGTATGGTATCGTAATTAAAGGTCTCAACAAAAGGAACTGTTTTCTACCAACTACCGCTCTTCTTTCTTACCCCTTATCAAAATAGGGTGTTGGGGGCACTGATTTAATGAGTCATTGTACTCAAATGAAAGGTTTCAACGAAAGGAACCAAATTCTACAAATAATAGTCCTCCTCCTCGACCCCTTATCGTGATTGGTTATAATTTCTTATAATTCAAGGGCGGATTGTCGAAGCGGGTACTCATAAAAGCCGATTGGGACGTCTGAAAGACAGAATATCTGGAAAACGGTTCTATTGGTGAAAGCGAAGCGAATACCTTAAATACGAAGTGTCGAAAAAGGGTATTCATTAAGCACATGTAGAACGTCTGGACAAGACCCATCTGCTGATGAAATAGTGCAAAGTATCTACAGAACGGAGTGTCAAAGAAGGAGTACTTTCAAAGGGTGGAACGATTATCTAGACGACACACGAAGGAAAACACTAGAAAGTTTTCTATAGCCTTCCAGGTTATACAAAGTTTTCTAGATCGTTCCGGAACTTGTAGACATTTTTTGGCTGTTATAAAACTCTGTCTCTATTCTTTCGAGAGATGCTTAGGACTTTTTGAGAATTTCTTAGGGACCCAAGAGCTTTCGCGGTATGCTTTTCATAGAGTTTAGCTTTCCAAGCTCCGATAGAATCTTTATGCTTTGGCAAACACTTTTATGAGGCCAATTTAAAGCACTACTGGAAGTTTCTTAGGAGATTTATCGATCTTTCAATAAATTCTATAGATTTCTTACTTTATATGGGTCAACTTTACAGAACTTTACAGCGGGAATCCTTTCTTTTACATAAATTGTTACAGACCCACGTTTGAAGGGTACTCTTTGGTCTAACCAATTGAATAAGCACTTATTCAACAATGGTCTATAACTTACCGTTTGTTGCATAACTTTTAGCAGAAAATCTATTCTATTACTCGTATTAGTCCCCAAATTTTCAGTTATTTACACGAATCGGTGTACCTATCTTCAAAGCGATTTGGTATGAGTATGGATTTATGAGTAGGTACTTGGTTTACACCCTTTAGTGGACTCTTAGGTACACTTTCCAGAAATAATTGAAACTGTATACTTAAATTTTTCTATTTGTTCTGTTTTGATATAGTAGGATCTAAATATATACTGAAATCGATAATAAGGGTACTAAAGAAAGAAGAATATTTTAGAATTTTGTGCCCCAAGAAAAAAATGCATTTGCAGTTATATTTGAGGCGTATAGGATCAAAACCGGACATGTCACATATTTTAACAAAATGAAGTGAGATATACGTTTTGTACATTGAGGCGTGTTTTATAATAAAATGAAGTCAGTTTAGTTGCAAATCCGTACATTTCCTATTAAAATCAGGCTTGAAAATTGCCATTAGATTCAAAGGATGTCCCATGAAATGTCCATTTGAACCAATAACGTTCTGGCATTGTGTCATGTGATCATGAATTTATTGAGGAAGTTTCTTGCATATAAGTGGCGTGACCCCTTTTTTGTGCTTTTTTTATATAAAATTTATTTTCATTTTTAATAAATTTTTGATTATGTTGTAATTGCGTTAGTTTTTTTTTTACTGAAAAAATAAGCATAGGTATTGTAACTCAAAAATCCGTCATATTTAGTTTCAGAACCAGACATGTCCACATTTGGGGTGCAAATTCGGCCAAACCCTAATTAAATTGATTAATAAATAATAACTCATTTAATAATCAAAATATTTTTATTGTTTCTTGAGTAAGTATCATTTTTTGGGTTTTTGGGTAGATCTGCAACTCAAACCAAGAATTTTTATGTTTCGAATCCACTGGACAGATTATTCCGTTTTTTGGAAAACTATAATCATGTGACATGTCCGGTTTTGATCCTATACGCCCCATTTAAACCTTGCCCGCCACTGCATTATTTTTATGCATTATATATATGTTTTTATGCACGCTGCGCCATTGGTCACGAAACTGATCGGTCGGTAATACAGATTTTTTGAATCATTTGACGTTTGTGACGTTTGAACTATTTGAAGGTTATATCAGCTGTTTTGTTTATTTATGTAAGATAACTTATTTAAAATTGATGGTGACGAGGCCATCAAGCCGAATTATATTACTCATCGCTAATCTTGTATGATTCAAACGCCGAAAGAGGGGGATTACATGACGTATCCTTACAGTCTATTTTATCTAGACCGTGGTATCCAAGCAAGGTTTCGAAGACCATTATTTTTATTAAATTGAGCGGTAAACTTTTCATACTTGTAAAGCTTCATATCTAACAGTGCCCTTTTTGTTTTGTTATAGTGTTTGTTGGTCTATTCGTCTTCTAAGTTCGAAGTCATGGCATCTAAGGAACTTTGCGAAGTTGTAAGCGGAAACTCTCGCTTCGCCAACAAGTTTTACAATTTCATCGCCGAAGAGGAAAAGGGCAAAAATGTGTTCTTTTCTCCGATCAGCGCCCATACTGTGCTGGCCATGGCTTACCAGGGAGCCGCTGGAAAAACGGCAGAGTCATTTGCCAGCACTCTGCATGTCTCAGACCAAGATAGCGCTTCAACCGGCTACAGTGATGTTATGAAGTCCCTAAACAGCGTGGAAGACGTCATGTTGCACATTGCGAATAAGATCTACGTTATGGATGGGTTCCCTTTAAAGGAAAAATTCCACAAACGCGCAAAGGATCATTTCCTGTCTGAAGCGGAATCAGTCAACTTCGCCCAAAGCGCGGAATCCGCAAAGAAAATTAACGGCTGGGTCGAGGATAAGACTAACTCTAAAATTAAGGATTTAATTAAGCCTAGTGTCTTGGACCAGTTGACACGTCTCGTGCTCGTCAACGCCATCTACTTTAAGGGTAACTGGGCTCATCCGTTTCGAAAGGAGGCGACGATCAAGGAAAAGTTCTACATTTCCGAAACGGAATCTGTCGATTGCGATATGATGCACATTACTAAGCATTTCAATTACCGCGACGACGAGAAATTGGATGCGCAAGTCTTGGAAATGAAGTACAGCAACAAGGATGTCAGTATGGTCTTTATTTTACCCCATAAGAGGACCGGCATTGAAGAGTTGGAAAAGAAATTGGTTGATGTTGATCTGTCGAACATTACTGATGGAATGCGGAGCATGGAGGTGGAAGTTTCTTTGCCCAAGTTTAAGATCGAGACGGAGATGGATTTGAAGTCTGTTTTAACCAAGGTAAGAAAGTAGGTTCCGAACCATTGATAATTAGCAGAAAGGTATTTTGAATTATTCTGGTTCACTAATTGTAAAGGTGTGGCAAGTTCAGTGAGTCATTAATCAAGTGGGTTGAATAGTATAGATTAGATAATTTGGTATACCTCATTTGCAGGATTTTCCCAGATAAGGATTATAGAGATTATGATCCATCAATTGAAAAAACTGGAGCAGTTTAGGTAAAATGGGCATCTTGAGTAGAATAGTGATCTCAGAGACCTGCTTATACCTAATAATACGTCGGCGTTACTATTGCCATAAGAAAAATATTTGATAACATTTTAGCTGGAGTTACGGGAGTTCTGATGTTGTATCTTCCTGTACAAAAATCTTTAAGCTTTTCCAAAAAAGTATAGATAGGTATTTGAAAAAATCATCAAGTGTTTTTTTTTAAATTTTCTTTTGACTATGCTTTATATTGAACTGTTATTGATGTGGTTTTAAAACTTTCGATTCTGATACCTGATTATTCTAAAATTCCCGAATTATCGTATAACAGGAACAGGTAGATTGTCATGAAACTGAAAGTGCCATTCTATACAGGGTCCTGCAACAGTGCGTCGGTCTTTCCTAGTTTATACCTGGTAAAAAATATCAAAAAACCTTTTTTCTATTTCGGTGTCACAATGATGATTTTGTACAACAGTTGTACAAAGACAGTGATTATAGTTGTTTTTTTTGGTAACTCATCTCTTAAGTTGGCAGTTACTAGTTAGTACAAGTAGGTACTTCATTGGGTACTTCCATGTTTGAACTTCAAAATGTCAGTCTTACTACGCTGCCAACCTAAAACTTAACGGCATAAAAAATGTTCCCAACATAAAACATGTTAGTTCTAATGTTCCCTATAGTTTCTGATAATGATTTTTTTAATTAAATTAAAGCACCGAAATAGAAAAAATAGTATGAAAAACGCGTGTTACAATGCTTTATTGTAATACTCCTATTTTGCGGACACTCGTGGCTACGCTTCGCGTCGCCACTCGTGCCACAAGATAGTCGTATTACGATAGGTCGCATTGTAACACTTGTCTTTCAATATACTATTGTGCAAATGTCAGCCATAGATGGTGGCGCATCTACAGAAATGATTTTTGAATATACAGGGTGTCCCATTTTTACAGTGTCAATCGACATCTGATTTTTTAAATTGAACCTTTGCATGGAAACCTATTTTGGTTTTTTATCAATGTTACCAAATTATTAACTTTTTTCCGAATAATTGCCCATAAACAAACCCTACTTTGATAAATTGTAGCGACCTTGATGTTAAAGTTAAGAAATACATTTGATCAATAATTAATCAATCAAAAGAACTTACCTGAAGTTCGATCGTAATTATATGAAAGTTCAGTCTGAAAATGTTAAAAATACGTATTTGCGCACCGCGCGTCGCGGAAGTGGGTAGTCGGGACCGGCCGCAGGAAAATTTTATTGTTTAAGCTGGGTACTCTTTAAATCTAGTGCTGGACGCGAGAGAGAGAGCTACAGTGTTTCTGTTATGTAATATTGAGGACTGGACCTGGAATAAGTATAATGTTAATCTGAATAAAAGGAAACACTTTGGTAATGAGAAAGTTGGATTTAGTGATACAGAGTGTTCACAAAAAATAGTAAAGTTTCCAAATTTCAAAGTGTCATAACCTGGGTCATAACTATGTTTTTTGTTTTCAAATGGAACTACCACTATTTTATTTCTCGATTCAATGGTCTTTTGTGTGCTCTTTACTTTTTATAAGGAGTGCCCTGTGCCTAAACCCCGTAGTTTTTAGATTATTCAATATTTTTCACAAAAATAGTTACACATTAATTAATTACATGTTTATAAACAGGAGTAGGCTGTGATAATAAAAAACAAAAGAATGCCAGAAAGTAAGCAAGTGTCACTCGAAGTGTCACCAAGAAATTATCTGCTGCAAGTGTACTCCCTATTTCGTAGTAAAATAAGATTAATTTAAAAGGGCGAATTTTGAAAAAGAGTCTTTTTAAATAATCATATTTTACAACCAAATAAAGAGTACACTTGCAGCAAATCATAAATTGTTTACTTTCAGGCACTCTTTGGTTTTTTATTACAACGGCCTACTCCTGAATAATTTTATTCTTGAACTCTGAAATTCAACATTCCGCAGATTTGGATGTGGAATGCTACTGATAAGTGCCCACTTTTATATCTTGTATCTCGTCTTGTATAGATATACAAAATAATAAAAATTATTTTTTTAGATGGGTCTTGGTGTAATTTTCGAACCTGGCAAGGCAGACTTTTCGGAAGTCTCCGAGAGCGATGAGCCGCTATATGTGAGCAAGGTTATACAAAAAGCGTTTATCGAAGTAAATGAGGAAGGAGCGGAGGCAGCGGCAGCTACAGGTATGTATATTCGTTTGTTTCCCTTTTTTGCTTTCCTGCTATCTTTGGGTTTAGCTTTGTTGTGTAAGTTTTTGAGTGAATTGCGTTGTTTGTATGGGCTTTTCTTGACGTGATAGTACTAACTCTTGCTAGTGTTTAAACCCTTACCCTGATTTTTTATTCATATTACGGTTAAAAATAAAGGATATCTATGCCGTTCTCCAGTGACAGTTTGCCATTTTAGGGGAAAACAATTGAAAAATAGGCAAATGTACTTTTTTGTCTTCCCCAGAAAATAGAGGGTGTGGCGGTATGTACTAACTAAAGTCACTAGTCTATATTTAGTGACTTTAGTACTAACTTAACAAGTGTAGGAAAAGCGAATTTTGCAATCCTACATGTACGGGAGACTATATTTCTAAAGTGAAGGTGAAGAATAATGTAACTGTTGGGTTAAGTTTTTCTATTGGAATAAGGTCCCCTTATTTTAATCGTTTTAGATAAAATCAAGATTTCTAGTAGTGAGGCCATAAAAAAATTTCATCAGTGGAAAACAATTTGGGCTGGTGTACGTACATTTATAAAGCATTCATGGACTCTTTTCTCTATCTTCTTATGTGTTTCATGTTTCCTATTGTTACCCCATTTCGTTAAATCTCTTATATTTATTTGGAAGGTTTGATAATGAGGGCGCAGTGCGCGATCAAAGCATATAAGGCCGATCATCCCTTTGTCACTTGCCTTCGTTACAAGAATGAAGATTCTAGTATCATTCTGTTTCATGGAAGAATTAGTATTACCAATTTTTAATAGATCCTTTTTTTTGCATTTCTAATGGCTCTATACTGTTACCATCTCGGTTACCATAACATTAAACTGATAATTGTTGAATTTTATGCGAATTAATAAAGTCAAGTATTTATAACAGTTCAATTTGTTTAAATTTTTATTTGGTAGTGTTAACAGAAATCATTTTGGTCTTTTAGGGCTAGTGATGCAAATCGAGTGCTACACTCCCATACCGAAATTTTACGTTGATCACCAGTTTCTCTTCATGATCACTCATCGTACATTTAGCGAATATTCATCGATTTTTTTAGGAAAAGTCTCAAGTCCTGTTTAATCTACTAATACTTAGTTGTTAACTTGAAAAGTATAATAATGTTCATTTCTTAATAATAAAGGAGAGTACAACGTGTCATTTACTGTATCAATTAGAGACTGTTCAGCAAAATTTGCGGTTAAAGCCAAATATGATGTGCTTCCTGATTTAAACCAACCACCCTGTTAGTCAATAAGGGAATGAATTAAAAAGTGGAATAGTGCATGTGGGTTTCATTTAATATTGCTTTCTTCTTGCAACAGCAAGTAATTTAAAATGGCGTACCGTTCATCTATTAAATTTGACTTGATCAATGGTGAAATCATAAGGGTCATGCGCGAAAGTCCGTTTGGGAAAGTTGTGGTGCTAGTGATCAGTGAGGTGGGGCACATTGCCACATGTACGTCGCACAATGTTTCACAATTATTTCATTCCATTGTGATGTTTTGGGGCATTATACAAATTTCATTTCCGTAAGATAGATGAACGGACTTTGTACACAGGGTGGCCCAGTACACTTTAAATAGGTACGTATAAATAACATATTGACAGTACTAATTTTAGCGATAAAGGGCACTGAGTGGCCACCCTGTATCTCGATATTGGTGCTGATTTTTAAAATTTTTTTAGCAGTTGTAATGTTGACACGTTGCGCGATGGTGAGTATCCCGCGGGAGAAGATTGTATTTAATGTGGATCATGCATTTACTGTGCTGCTTCAAGTACGAAATGAAGGTGCAAGACATGTCTTATTTTATGGTCGAATTGCATCACCTAAATGTTGAATTTGAAATGCAAAGAAGCGGATTTCATTTTTTGTGCTGAAACTTTGATTGTATGCATGAATATAATATACTGTGAAAACTATCAAATGTTGTTTATTTCTTATTATTTACTACAAGGGAGTGCATCCAAATCAATCTAGCCGTTTGTTTCTGAGATACAGGGTGAAAACGAAAAGTTTGACTGTCTGTGATGTTATCATATTTTACTACCCATGTAAGATAGAAAAAAGATAAAAACTGCCTATTTTTTTAATTGCAACACCCTGTATATCTCAACGTCAGCTTTTTGCATTCTTTTTCCAGATTACATTGATTATATTTTTTTATTTTGAGCCATGAACCAAAAATAATAACCTTATTTTTTTTTACGGCTTTTAAATAGTAAGCTTTGGATTCCTGGAGATTTTGCTTTGTTTATTGTCTGATACAATTTCCTTAATATATAATTATATGGGCTGAAACCCCGCCCACTTAAAAATAAAGGCAAAAAAAAATAAAATAAAATAATAAATATAGGTTGTAATACATCAATCTAATTAGGAAAAAAAATGTAAAAAAAATGACGTTAAGATATACAGAGTGTTAAAAAATACTAACTTTGAGTCAAATCACAGAGAAGGAGGTCCAAACAATTTTTTTGACTACGTCACTATGTAAAAATATCTAAAGTTGGTAGTTTTTACCTTTTTTCTATCTTACATGGGTAGTAGGGTATGAAAAGCCAAACTTTTCGTTTTCACTCTGTATGTCAGAAACAAACGTAGCTAGATTCATTCCCTTAATTAATTTTTTGCGCGATCGGTCATTTCTGACTATTTACCATGGGTGTTTCCATGACAGTACGTAGAACTTACCAGTTGCTATGATTACGACGACGTCAAAATTACTTACCGATCTAAAAACAGAACAGCAAAAATACTTACCGACGCCTTTTTAAAAATCAACAGTCTTACATTACATTTAATCTTTAATTATTGTTAGGTACATTAAACGTACAATTTGTGCTGTTGTTTCCTATAGCAAGACGCTCATAAAGTCATAAAGGAAGTGCAAAGCTAGTAAACTACATCAGACACATGCACATTTTTATGAAATTATTAACTTCAATTTTGACAAATAAACTGGTTACCTAGTGATGTACACCATACCACTTCGATCATTTCGATTTATTCTGCTCGTTAATTTCTTAGTGCATATTTATATTGGTTGCATAATTTTAATTTCGATCGCGCAAAAAATGTTATAAGCACGTCGAACGTTAAGGGTTACCGTTCTCAGACAATAATTGTAGTCGTCGCTTCGCTCCTCCTCCAAACAATTGTCTTCGAACGGTAAAAATCCCTTACCGTTCTCCATACTTAATATACTATAAAATATAATTATTGTATAAATTCAGTACCTACATTAATCCCGCGCTTCTATCAACTATAAATGAGCAGTTTTTCTTTAGTTATAGTCAAAATGGAGGTTTGATCTTAAACTTAATTAAAGTGCACTTTAATGGAGCACAAACGAAATTCATGCTAAATGTAGTGTTTTAATCACCTGTTCTGATTTCACTTCTTCTTCTGTCTATGATGTGATGTGAGTCTTACATATAATTAACCGATCAAAAGAACCTACCTGAAGTTTGATCAGAATTATGAGGCGTCCGGTCCGAATATATAATTTTGTAACACTGTAGAACATGCTTCTATTATATGCACAAGGTTGATAGATAAAAGTCGCCCCCCCTAAAAAACAGAGAGTCAATTTCACAAAGAGTGTGTACCACGGCTGAGCTTGCCAGAAAGAGCCTACAAGGATCCCTGCTCGGATCCCTGTAGCCTTGTCCTGTATAATCTTTTGCAGTAGGTCTAAGTACTAAAGAAAAATGAGGGAAGGCGTAAAAAAACTGTGACAACCAATTGCACACTTTCTTATGGAAACACTTTTTATCTTAGAGATGGTGCCTGGTGTTCAATTTGTTTCCATGGAAACGACGCAAGAACCTAAGCTTGCTATTTTGGATGTCTAAATTAAATACGTCCAGAATTTTCAGAGGTTTTATAATGATTTCTCTGGCTTCTGATGTAAAATAAAGTTTGCGTTTCCAGTTTCCATGGCGAACACAAGATGGAAGGACTCTTAACGACTTTTTCTTGGTTGTATTATACTCGGAAAAATAGTAACCAAAAAAATAATTTATGTTCTGTTCACAACAGATTCAACAACTTTTCCTTACCCCCCTTTGCAGAATTAATTAATTCCAAATGTGAGATTCGGCACCTTGAGGCGTGTTCTTTTAATCCTGATGAAGACCCATACGAAATTGGGCGAAACGTTGACTTTTCATTTAACATTGACAGAGTCCTATTCCGGAAGTCGCTCGCATCTTACCGACTCTGGCTGTGGAAGCCATATAATAACGGAATTCTTATTGTTTCATTTCGATGTGATCTATCACCATAATACACAAGTTTGGTTTTTGTAAGGTAGATGAACGTTTTGCCTGGTTTGTGCACAGGGTGGCCCAGTAGTGAATTACAATTACATATTGATAATTTATTTTAGCCATTAAGAATTTTCTTAAAATTTGAAATATTCACAGAAACTGAGTGGCCACTCTTTATTTCTATATTGGCGGTGAAATTGTTTGAGTTTTTTTAGCAGCTGTAATGGTGTTTCAATGCGCTATGGTGAGAACTCCGCAGCAGAAGATCGTATTTAATGTAGATCATGCATTTACTATACTTCTTCAAGCACGGAATGAAGGTGCACGACACACTTTGTTTTATGGTAGAATTGCGTCACCTCAGTGTTGAACATTTGTGCTGGAACTTTGTATGCTTGAATATATATTGTGAGTACGATCGATGTTGTTTCTTAATATGCGTAGTTAGCATCTTTCTCTTAACCTTTTCACTGCTGCGCACGTATATATACGTTCTGAAAATGCGGAATCTGTGTGCGACGTACGTATATATACGTTGTACCTGTTTAAAATTCTGTGCTAGCTCCGTATATTAACGTGCTGCAATCATTTGCACACCATCGGAAAGCCCATTTCGTGAGCTTTCCAACGAGTACCAACACGACTCAATTTAGTTTTGTCCAGTACACTAAAAACGGTTTCAGGTAACACGTGTGCGCATTTATTTTGTTGTAGTAGTTATTTATTCAGACTTTTGATAAATTGTTTTATCCATAAGTCAATCAGTAGATGGCGGATGAATACGTTGGATTGACGAAGTAGGACGCTGCGGTTTATTTTTTATTTTTTTTTATTTTTTTTTTATATAAAAAAATTAAATAAAAAATAAAAAAATCAAAACAAAAATAAATAAACAAATTTTGATGCCCCTCCGATAAAATACATTGAGCTTTACTTCCTGACCTTGCTGTGCACGTATATGCACGTGCTGGGTGCTGCAAATCAATCTGCTGATGACGTATATATACGCGCGACGATTTCTCTCAGTGCGACGTACGTAAATATACGTTTTGTACAATTTTAATTCATCACAGGCTGTTTACACTCGAATTTTTAATTTAGCAGCGAAAAGGTTAAAAGTAAACAGTTTGATATGATCAATATTTTCGTCAAATTCAATATGAAAATGTGATCTAGCAGTGAGTGTTCAGCACTTCTGCATGGTTTTGACGGTTGTGTACCTAGACACTTCTGAAGAGACATTCCAGATGCTTATGAGTACATATGTGGATAATAGCAAACTTTTTGGTAGGTCTTTTTGAAATACAATTTTTCCCATTGTCTGTATATGAATAATTTGTTGGGAATACGCTGCTAATGTACCGCATTCTTTACTTCTGATTTCTCTTCTCTTTTCAAACACTACTGTTTATTAGGAGGTGTGAGCCTTATAGGTTATAGAATTTCAATTGTGTCAGGCTGTTGCCAGTTTTAATGTTAAGAGTGAAAGATCTTCTCCAATGTTGCACTATGCTTTTAAATGCGATCGCTCTCATAACCTACATACTTGCAATTCAATTGAACAACCAATTTCTGCATTAAATGACATTTTTTAAAAAATCTATAAGCTCATGCAAAATTTTTATTGCAGCAATGGGTGTCATGCTCTGCTGTTTACCAATAACTTTTCCATTCCAAGCCAACCATCCATTTCTGATAGTATTGAAAACTAAGCGGGACAGCATTAATCATATCTTATTTTATGGAAGAATTGAAAATCCTACATTATGAACATTTAACTGTTATTTTTAATAAGCTTGTTAAAAAAAATGCAAACATTAAAATAGCTAATTAAAACCTCTAGTATGTTGATACAATGATGCTTAGTAAGGAATTAAAAATCCGATTATTGTCTTCGACGTTTCACAAGTATTTTTGGAAATGGTGCAAGTGTTTTCTCTGGTTTAGTATTAATGGAATTCTTATTGTCATTGCCAACTCCTACTAGGGATGCTTTTTAATAAAAATGTTTAAGTAATAATAGTATTAATGGTTGACCTACCAGCTGTGTTGTTTGGGTGTTTCTCATTTTCAAATTGAACATTTTTGCAATAGTGATACTCTTAACTCAATGAGGCTGAGCGAACCAATGGAATTGAAATAAATACTGCTTTGTTTTTTTTCCTTTTTTAATAATGGAAAATCAGGTCTCTGTAGAAGTGATGGTAGAACGATGGTTCAACTCTTATTCCATGGAGTAAAGGAAAAATCCTGATCTGGGATGCTACAGTACCAGACACTCTTGCACCATCATATATTCACTCCTCTTCCAAAGAAGCGGGTACAATTGCAAAACAAGCTGCTAAAAGAAAACTAAACAAATATAAGGACCTTGTCACAGATAATTACTTATTCGTTCTCTTTGCTGTCGAAACCCTTGGACCATGGGGTGATGAAGCAATATCATTCATTGAAGCTATAGGAGCGTTAATTAAACTTCGTCGTTCAACTCTTTTCTTAAAACAGAAAATTAGTGTTGCAATTCAAAGAGGGAATGCAAGTTGCATTATGGGAACTTTCAACAATTCTTTCAGACTAGAACAAATTTTTTATTTACGCGTTTGAAATAAAATTTTAATTTCAATTTTCCTAGTGCCTCATCACTGGTCGACTTTATTTCTTTCAATTGTTACTCATACCCTTTACAAACGTAATTATGGCGCAGACGCCATGATGTTGCAGCATCCTTATGGCATACTCTTTTCGTTATTCAAACTACTTCTTGAATTTTGAAATTATCAAGATGCCGTCTGCTGTTCAGACTTTAGGAGGGCAATGTCTAAGACCACAGACTTCATTTTGGTGGTCTGCAAATCATGTGAAAATCCAAAATAAAGAGTGTTTCCATAAGAAAGTGGACACCCTGTAGATTATTGCATTTTTATGGTTGAATAGTTACTGGTAAGGTTACTGTTTCATTTTGATGTGATCTAGCATCATAATAAAAAAAATGGACTTTGTAAGGTAAATGAACGTTTTGCCTGCTTTGTACACAGGATGGTCCAGTAGTGAAATACAATTTAGTACAGGTATTACTTGTTTTAGTGATTAACAATTTTCTCAAAATTTAAAATATTAACAAAAACTGAATTTCTATATTGGCATTGAAATTGTTGGGTTTTTTTAGCAGCTGTAATGGTTTTACAATGCGCGATGGTGAGAATTCCACAGCAGAAGATCGTATTTAATGTAGATCATGCATTTACTATGCTTCTTCAAGCACGGAATGAAGGTGCACGACACGCTTTGTTTTATGGTAGAATTGCATCACCTCAATATTGAACATTTGTGCTGGAACTTTGTATGGTTGAATAATGAATATACATTGTGAATACTATCGAATGTTGTTTCTTTCATATTTTTAACTGGGGGAACGTAGAGACCAAGCTCCTCTTAAAAGTAAGCAGTGAGAGTTCAGTAGTTTTGGGTGGTTTTGATGGTTGTGTACCTAGAAACTTATCACGGGAAATCCATATCGCTCCGAACACATATGTGGATAATACCAAGCTCCTTCGTAGGTCATTTAAGTTAAAATACAATTTTTTCCCATTGTATGTATATTAAAAATGTATTCGTGACTAATTCCGTCTTCTATTTTCTTTTCAAACCTCTATTTATTAGGTGTGAGTCTATTGCACTATGTTTTTCAGTGTAATCGCTCTCATAACCTACATACTTGCAACAATTCAATTTAACAACCAATTTTTCATTTGTGTCATTTTTTAAAAATCTTAGTTGTAGCTCATCCTAAATTTTTATTGCAGCAATGGGCGTTTCTTCTCTGCTCTGCTGTTTACCAATACCTTTTCCATTTCAAGCCAACCATCCATTTCTTATAGTATTACAAACTAAACGGGGCAGCATTAATCATATCTTATTTTACGGAAGAATGGAAAATCCTAAATTATAAAGTATAAACATTTATTTATTTTTAATAAGCTTGTTAAAAAAAGATTAAAAGATAATTATATAATTGTTATCACCTCATGTATGGTTTCTATTTTTTTAAAATCGCACCCGTATCTTTGACGTTTCACACTTATGTTTGAAACTGTGATTGAATTCTCTGGTATTAATGGCATTATTGTCATTGCCAACTCCTACAGTCCTACAAGGGATGGTTTTAACAAATAAATAAAAATGTTTAAGTAATAATAGTATTAACAGTTGACCTACCGGCTATGTTGTTCGGTGGATATTTTTATCATTGTCAAATTGTAGATTTTTGCAATAGTAATGGTTTTTTAACTTAGTTATAGATTGATGAAAAGCATTACGTCTAGCTCAAGCTTGAGCGAAGCAGTGTAGTTTAAATAATTCCGTATTCTTGCCCTTTCGAATAATGAAAAATTAGGGTCAAAATTTCTACATCCATTTAGATTATTTTAATATCAGAGAGGACGTGGTTTGGGAATTTTAGTGTGATTGTGTAAAGAGCATTTAATGCAGAAAGCTTCCATTCATGTTTTGCCTTCAGGCTTGTGCTCAAAGTAGCAGGTATGCTTAATATTTCACTTAATGTTGAGCACAACTTTCAGTCTTAGTGTTTCGATTCTGGAGATTGTCTCAACAGCAAGTGTAACTTGAAGAATTTTAATGTGATTTGTTTTAGTTTATTATCCCACTGTCTTTGATACCGCCAATTTCAGAACATTTTGTGCCAATCATCCATTTAACATACTTCTACAACATAACAATACACTTTCAGTTAGTGTTTTATTTTTCGGAAACGTGATCAATCCGTCGGGGGGAGAAGTAATTGTTACAAGGCTTAATAAGAAATGGTTGTGCTGTTTTTGATGCATTTTTTTGTGTTTCATTTTATACATGTATTAAAAATAAATTACTAACTGCTTCTGTGTTTAATTTCTCCGTGCTATGTAAACCTTTTTAGGAGTAATTATTATTACACACACCTCGCTTCACTTCCTTACTTTACACACACACAAATCATCTTCACTTTATTGGATTAGTCTTTAATCAACCATCGTAGAGATGTCAAACAGGATTTTCAATAGAAATGTTGATTTGTCTTTTGACCTGTTGTGACAATACTACCATATTATTTAAACTACTGCTTTAATTTTGTAATTATTAAGATTTGAGTCTCTTTGTATTTTGTTTAGCAATGTCAATGACTTTCAGAAGCAGGTGACTTTAAGACTTTATGCCACAGATTTCATTTTTTTCTAAATAATAGTTTGCCAGAATCTTTTGCTTTCTTAGTTTTTTATTCCATTCTTCTCTGCTAATGCTCTGTCTTCACGTTTTGTAGTGTCGCATTGCTTGTACGCTTGATATTTCCTTTGTTCTTTTTCTTACTCGTAATTTTTGTTGTAGCAATGATGATGGCTTGCTTTTCTATGCCAATAATTTATCCATTGCGAGCTGATCATCCCTTCCTTATAGTATTAAAGGCTAAGAGGAATGGCGTGGATACTATTTTGTTTTATGGAAGGATTGCAAATCCTGCTCTGTAGACTATTGCAGCACATAGAATTTTGTAATAAATATTAAACTGATGGTTTGGAAAAAGGATTCTGATTTTCATGTACTTGCATCTTAGTTTGCATTTCTGCACGTTTGCTACACAGTCATTGAGAGGTTGAAGATAATATAATTATAATTTAAATTTTTTAAGTAACCTCATTTTGAAAATGTTAATTTACCTATTCAATTCGAAGAAGAGGCCTGCACATTAGGATTTGTTGTATGCCAAAATAGTCAATAGGCTTATATCTATAAACGGGGAATTTTAAGAGAAGTTAAATTCGTAAATCTCTATTAAAAAGCAGTTTACGGCTATTTTTGCGTATAGAATTTAAAAAGTGGGAGACATATTGGGGACAGAAGAAAAGCAGCCGGATGTGACTTGAGCTGAAAGTGGTTGTTTGGATTTTTGGGACATTCACAATCCGAAAGCAAAAGTTCTGACTCTTTTTATTTGCAGCTGTCGCTATGTGTACATTCTCAATGTGTCTGGAACCTGAAAACTTTGTATTTCAAGTTGACCATCCGTTCGTTGTTCTGATTCAAGTGGGAGGTGATGTACAGCACGTGCTATTTTACGGAAAGATTGCATTACCACTGCATTGAAATGACTACGTTTAATTAAAAAATTTTTGTTTAAAGTTGATTATATAACTATACATTTATTGTACCTACTTCTTCAGCCAATCAAATAGTTTACCTTAAAGTTGTATGTGTGTGTGTGATGAATTTTTATAACACTTATAAGTACAAAAGCTATTTGGAAATATATTTTTTTTACTTCCATGAAATTTTTCTTGTCATCGTACACTGCCATCATGTCAAGTGTAAATGTAAATTTTGCAAAGAAATAGTGTCTACTGCAATCTACAACTCAGGTACTTGAATAGTATCAATGCACCCTTCTAGGACAATTTATGAAAATGATTTGAGGAAACTTCCGTATTCTAACATTGGCGACTCTTCAAGACCTTTGCGTTTCCTTCATGTGTCACCCATTCACGTGATTTATTTATTTATTTTCTTTTGTTTTGAGTTGTCTGCCAGTTGTCAGGTTCCTTCTTAGGTGACATCCCTCCTCCCCAACTCCCAGTCCATCGCCTCTCTCTGCATTCCCGCCTAACCGGTTCCCTTCTTCAAATCATCAATCCATTTCCTTTTTCTTCCTCGTTTCCTTCCACCTTCCGTCTCCACTGATCCTTACAATACGTTTTTTGGATTTTGCATGGCTCGTCTCAGTTTTTCCAAGGTTTTGATAACAGATTGTAACTTTTTAGAGTGAGAAATTGGATCACTGCACCAATTTCGCACCTGGCCATGGAAAGTTCTATCGCGGATTGTTGTTAGGTCGGTACTGAGCGGCGCAGCGAACTCTCTCTACCAGGGCGGGATCTGGCGTGGGGGAACTATCAAACACGGTTGCAGAATATCGCCTAGAATACTGTGCCGCAACGGTCTAAGGCTGGGAACCTTAATTTTTACATAGCCCTTGTATCTAATGACATAAAAGGCTGTTGAACAGTATTTGCTTTAGTATATTCGTTGAAATATTGTTGTCTAATTTGTTTGTACGATTAAAAAGAATTCTCAATAATGAAAGGATACAACTACAAAATAAAAGCCCACCGATTTGGCTCAGTTGTAGCACTGAGGTGAGGGCCCTTGATTTGAACCATAAAGTTTCGTTGGGACATAAGCTGTAAAGTACTGATAGTTCCACTATATCTTAGCAATAATTTTATTAAAATGAAAGCCCCAAAATTTAGTTCGTCCTATCAATAACGACACGGGCATCAAAGGAAACTCCACAAAAATGGTTGGATGGGAGGCTCTGACACTATTAACAACGGTCTACTGCTAGGTCTACTCTTTATCTTTGATAAAATTGGAAACTGAACTGACATTTTTACTCTCAGTTGTTTCTTGGGGAATATGTGTGAATGAGCAATGTTTTTCAAAATTGTTGAATTTCCCCAAACCATCTGTCATGGCCAAATGTTTAAATAACGCTTTATACCTACTGGCTTATTAGTGCCCTAATGATTTCCTAATTTGAACCACGTTCATTTTGCATCTAAGTCTAAACGTGACCCCTTAATACAGTCCACGAGCTCTGCACATGTTTCTTGCCGATACTCATTTCAATGTTAAACCCCACGTATCTAGTGGGCCACTTCAAAATCGTACATTTTGATGAGGGGTCACATTTAGATATAGCTGGGTACAGGTTTAGGCGTTATTCTTTCTTTTTTTTAGCTGTAATCATGGCCCGTTATTGCGCAATGAGACAGACAAGTGAAAGGATTGTATTTCGAGCTGACCATAAATTTCTCTTGCTTCTTCAAGCGCGCAATGAGGACCAACGTTACGTACTGTTTTGTGGAAAAATCTCGTTACCACAATACTGAAATGTATTCTTTAATATTTGCAATTGTTAGCTTTCTAATTTTTTCACAGCTTTTCAAAAACTTCGTATTTACTTCAACTATTTTTAGCAATGGTTATGGTTGCTTGCTGTGCTATGCCTATGCCTCGACAAAAGATTACGTTTAATGTTGATCATTCGTTTGTTATACTTCTTAAAACGCGGTCGGATGATGTGCATCACGTTTTATTTTATGGCCGAATTGCGTCGCCTAATGTTTGAACTTTTATAATGCTAAGCTATAATATGGCACCTATTTACACAAAATGTATTGTGATTTTTTTAATTCATTGTATTTGTAACATTTTAAGAAGCATGTATTTTGTAATACCTAATTAAAAGTTATTTCTTATTTTGTGTTTTGGAATAAATCTGGCACTCCAAAAAACACGCCATCTACTCTTGTGACAGGAAACTAAACAATTAATTTTCTTGTCTCCTCTTTTTTCTTCTCTAATAACAAATTAATGAAAGGCCGGTTTACATACAGCCTAGAGTTATGTTTCGAGCGAAAGGTATAGATTTGTACGTTGTTTCCCATGATCTTATTCTTACAATTACATCCAGATGCATGTCTGGGCATCAAATAGTCCGAGCATGAGTCACCAGGGAACCGCCAGCTTACACCAATTTCACTATTTGACTTTAGTAATTATAAGTGGAACTATCTTTATTCAACATAAGTAGATACATCGTAAATTAATAAGAAAAAGTGCTTTCCGGAAAAATTTTGGTGCAGTCGATTTTTGGTAAAAAAGGAAGGTTGTACACTGCCTTTTTTTGAGGCCAGAAAAAAAAATTCTCAGATCGACCCGGAAAAAAATTTTCTTATAGAATGTGGCCTGTAGAATCCATAATTTCAAACAGTTCCAAGATTGGGCTACTAGTTCAAAAGTTACAGCCCTTTGAATTTTCTTTCGAAATTGGTTTCTAGTCTATAACTTTTGATTGAGAAGTCTGATCGAAAAAGTACGAATTGTTTTGGATTCTACGCACCAAAATTAATAAGAAAAAGTGTTTTCGCGAGAAATTTTGCTACAGTCGATTTTTGGTAAAAAAAGGAAGGTTATACACTGCCTTTTTTTGAGGCCAGAAAAAAAATTGTCTCAGATCGACCCGGAAAAAAAAATGTTCTTATAGAATGTGGCCTATAGAATCCATAATTTCAAACAGTTCCAAGATTGGGCTACTAGTTCAAAAGTTACAGCCCTTTGAATTTTCTTTCGAAATTGGTTTCTAGTCTATAACTTTTGATTGAGAAGTCTGATCGAAAAAGTACGAATTGTTTTGGATTCTACGCACCAAAATTAATAAGAAAAAGTGTTTTCCCGAGAAATTTTGGTGCAGTCGATTTTTGGTAAAAAAGGAAGGTTATACACTGCCTTTTTTTGGGGCCCGAAAAAAAAGTGTCTCAGATCGACCCGGAATAAAAATTTTCTTATAGAATGTGGCCTGTAGAATCCATAATTTCAAACAGTTCCAAGATTGGGCGACTAGTTCAAAAGTTACAGCCCTTTGAATTTTCTTTCGAAATTGGATTCTAGTCTATAACTTTTGATTCAGAAGTCTGATCGAAAAAGTACGAATTATTTTGGATTCTACGCACCAAAATTAATAAGAAAAAGTGTTTTCCGGAAAAATTTTGGTGCAGTCGATTTTTGGTAAAAAAGGAAGGTTGTACACTGCCTTTTTTTGAGGCCAGAAAAAAAAATTGTCTCAGATCGACCCGGAAAAAAAATGTTCTTATAGAATGTGGCCTATAGAATCCATAATTTCAAACAGTTCCAAGATTGGGCTACTAGTTCAAAAGTTACAGCCCGTTGAATTTTCTTTCGAAATTGGTTTCTGGTCTATAACTTTTGATTCAGAAGTCTGATCGAAAAAATAACGAATAAAATTAGAAATAAGTAATTCGATGGCATTTTTGGGTTATACGTTATACCCCTTTTGCCGCGGAATATCGCCGTGAGATTTACGGAAAATATGGTTCTGTAATTGTTCGTTATGAAAGTAACGGATTTTTTATCGTATAATGTAGCAAAAGGCGATAAAAGAATGAAGGCATGGTAGCAAACGTACAGTTGCCAAATGACCGTGTCGCAATGTAAACGTAAAATACCACAATTTCGATTGACAAGTAACGTGAAAACAAAAAGACCCTTTTCAGTAAAGGTTTTTGGTTTTATTTTTTAAATAACGCACAACTCTCCCTCAAGAACCTGGGCATATTTTGTGAAATATACTGATCAGTCTAACATAAGCACGTAATTCCAACGTTAATGCGGTTTAAAAGGATTTTTTTGTTAATACATTCGCAATACCACAGATGAAATTTTTGGGTATTTTATCTGTGGCAATACAATATTTCCCAAAAACCCCAAACTAAAGGCTTCATAGATGTTGCAAAATACCTGCTGTAGTATATTCATTATGAAATATTGTTGTCTAATTTGTTTGCACGATTAAACTGCAGTAACTACACAATCTAACAACACACTTCTAAATAATGAAAGGATACAACCACAAAATAAAAGCAAGTCAATTTGGGGTAGTTAGATGCTTAATGCGGGTCACTCTGTAATAGGGCGCAAGCCGCAAGCCTGTTGAGAGCTCAGAACAAGAGAGGGATAATAAATAAGAAAATACAACACTTACCTAGAAATACGAGTACATATCCACGTTCTGGTGCTTTGCTGCTTATATGTTTGTAAATTAAATTGTAATACCAATTAACAAGCTTTATGTTTATGGAATACAACTCTTCCATTTTTTTAAACATCATACCTATGTACTTGATATTTTTACACAAAGTTTGTACGGAACGCTTAAGTTCAACATTCTATTCCTACAATTTTCACCAAAATTTGTGTAGGGAACAATTTTGGTCTTGGAGTTTTCACAAGCCATTTGTTGCCTTCGTTAAATCTTGGCAACAGTGCTGATAGTCCCACTATGTCTTAGCAATAACGATACAGGCATCAATGGGACCCTATAAAAATGGTTGCAAGGGA